TAATCTTGACATATTGCGGTCGTTGAAGTTACACATGCAATACGGATATGGCATGACATGCATGATGTTATATTCAATTAATTATACTATACAAATATATATAAACATATGTACCCTGTGATTCCACGGGGTGTTGTTGTCCGTATTCAAGATAATCTTGTATGAACCTGTTCATGATATAAAGCATACCATGAGTACGAATCTATTTACACACCTAAATATTTCATCTAAACTATTATCAATTCAGTAATAAACAATACAAATTACTGCCAGATAACCAAAACCACACATACAATCAGATATGGTATTTCTTATATACATACACTCAACATACACACACACACACACAAAGTATATGTGACATTTTTAACACAGCATTAACCTGATATAGATATGTTTACATGAAGTGATTTATACATTACAATGGCATTAAAAGAACATAATAGTAACTAACCCTTTTAATTTCTGGTCCTGTGTCTCTCCAAGTGTCCAAGTGCAAGTTGTAAGTGCCAGTGACAAGAATGCATATGTGGAAAACAAAGGGTTTGAAAGTGGGACACCTAATTCAAAATTAGCCAATCATTAAAATACCTGGGCTTATACTTTGATTGCTAGCTGATCTACCCGACACTGAAGTGGACTTACCCAATGAAAGTACTTAACAAAAGAAATGAGCTTTTAATGATACTAGTTTATTTGCAACTGCTTAAATATCTTATGCAGCCTGAAATAAGAGATTTGATTATTCATAAATCAGTGAAGATGACTGGTTCATATATCTGAAATTAATACAATAAATAGTTATTAATTACTGTATTGCCTGAAATATACAAATGACATTATTTTAAACATGTTAAAGTAAAACAGCAAAATGATAAAACATAATCACTATGTACAGACTTAAACTCTACCACAATACCAACATCTGAAACAGGTATACAACAAGAATACCAACATTTGAAACAGGTATACAACAAGAATATCAACATCTGAAACAGGTATACAACAAGAATACCAACATCTGAAACAGGTATACAACAAGAATACCAACATCTGAAACAGGTATACAACAAGAATACCAACATCTGAAACAGGTATACAACAAGAATACCAACATCTGAAACAGGTATACAACACGAATACCAACATCTGAAACAGGTATACAACAAGAATACCAACATCTGAAACAGGTATACAACAAGAATACCAACATCTGAAACAGGTATACAACAAGAATATCAACATCTGAAACAGGTATACAACAAGAATACCAACATCTGAAACAGGTATACAACAAGAATACCAACATCTGAAACAGGTATACAACACGAATACCAACATCTGAAACAGGTATACAACAAGAATACCAACATCTGAAACAGGTATACAACACGAATACCAACATCTGAAACAGGTATACAACACGAATACAAACATCTGAAACAGGTATACAACACGAATACAAACATCAATACGTTAACGTATGGCAAGAAAGGGTTATGGCGAGGAAGGGTTAGAGACAATTGTGACTTGTTGTCGTTATTCCATGCATACCACTGTAAGCGCTGACATCCGTAGTCCATGCCTTCTGTTATATCTTTTTCTGTGCATACACACTATTTCGGGAACTATAACAATTCTTTACGTTTACTTTCTTTCCATCCTCTGACCATTGCAAACAGTTCTTAGTCGTGAGATGTCTGTCATTTCCAAATTACAAGCAATAAATTGAACATGATTAAAGGGCCAGTGATCCAGAGCAATGTCCGTGGACTGGTTGCTGCTTTTGTTATTGTTTTTCTCCTGTGAGTACCCGGATGATATCCCAGAATTCATGACTGGTTCGTTACCTCTGCTGCGCCACCCTCATGCGCAATTGATAGTATGAGTATAGACTGATCAACAAAGATGAAATCTTTTTTACTCGATAATCTTGATTTTGTTGTAAAATTATGTAGACTGTGATGAATAATTTGGTTTCTTATAAGAAACAAATTCACTTTGATAAAAATGCTGGTTTTGATGTAATATTTTGATTTCATAGTAATGTTGACTTTATAAAAATGTTACCGTAAATGGATGTAGAATTTGATTTAAGAAATAGTTTGAACTTGAATTTGGTGAGAAGCCTGATATAATAGCATTGTTTGAAAGTAAGGCTAACTAAGTACATGGGGAGTCTTGAGGAGAGTAGTGAGCTTGGGTTCACTTCTAGTCAATCTGAATGTTGTATTAAATGGCATTATTTTGATAACAAATGAAAACATTTAAGTTTAACCATCTGCCAGTGGTAAAAAATGTTAGGACTGAAATAACGAAGTCAATGTACGTCTTTATATTTTGTCTTAGAATCCTAATTAGTTTATTATCATATTTGTATGCATTTTGAAACTTAATAAAATGCACACGGTCTGCTTATACTTAGTGAATATATAACATGACTGTTATATCTAGACATCTTATAGATTGCCAACGTGTATAATATTTCACACACACGCCCTAAGTGCGACCTAGTGTAAGTTGTCTGTGTCATTTCACTTCACGGCAAAAAAAATATTCTGTTGAATGTCATAACAAAAAAATTAAAACAAAATGCAAATATTAAAATTAAAACAGGCTATTAAGTTATAGCAACAATATCAGGCTATTACCTTGTTCGGGGAATGTATCCATCAGTATCCACATAAAGGAATGAGATGCCATTCATCTGCAGCTGACAAAGTATCCTGTTCCATGTCATGTGTCTTTTAACAGTCTAATATGCGAAAAGGTGATCTATCGTTTCAGGTTTTTCACATTGGTGTATCCCATTGGTCACCCAAGATAGCACGCCTGGCAACTAATTGCATGATGTCCGCCATGCTTTAAAAAGTAATTTAGTTAGCCTACAAAGAGACTTTACGACAGGGTGTATTCAGTATAGATGAGTAAATTACATACATAAACACTACCTTTTGTCAAATCCGCTGTGCAGGATAAAAAAAATTAATCAATCAGCGTGTTGTCGGTTAATCTTTTGATCGATGTTTGTTTTGTAACTCAGCTGATTATTCCTCTTGCTGCACTGCCATGCGCATATTACATAAGATGTAATACATTTGCCACATCAGACCTCAATTTATAATGATGAGTATTTACTCCAGACACAATAAATGCCAACCTTTGTGGTGTTATACCCGTTATAAACTCATTAACTGACCATCAAGTGAACGATGACAAATAACATGTGTAGGTTTACTACCAAACAAGGGTTACAGCATGAGAGTAGTAATCGCTGTATTGCATGCAAGTTTGATTGTCTGAAAAAAAACGTATGGTCCGACACTGTTTTGAGGATACGAACGGATCGAAATTCATTGTTACATAAGAAATATATATAAGCATTTGCTCTGTACTTATAATTAAAGATTGTATTTACCTAAGTAAATTTCAGATTTTTTTAGCAATGGCAAAGTGGGGTTGTTTAGTTTTGGATTCAAATATATCAAATGTGTGTTTTTGATATCATAGCATACGTAATAGACATCATATTGTTACATGATTAAATATTGAGGTAAAAACACAGAAATAGGATGAAATTGGATCAGTCACTATACCATCCAAACATTTGAAAATCTGAAAAAGCCTACACTGCTGGGATACTTATTACAATCAGACAAGAACTGTAGGGGATATTTTCAAATAACGGCATCTGATGGGCATCCACCCTTCCTAATGTCCCACTGATTAGGTTGAAGAAATTCTGCCGAGGTGGACAGTAGCCCAGTCCCCGTGTTCGTCGCGGTCGAGGGAGCAGGGGTTGACCAGTTTGCAGCTAGGTTTCGTAATTAGACTGTTGGCTGGAAACATTAATCGCTCTGGATCAGTGGCCCTTTAAATGATACGGACCAACAACATCTGTGTACTGGACTATTTTTAACAATGTATTGTTCATCATTTTCCATGATGCACTCTACACATTGTGAGTCGCATCATAGATGAACCTTTAAGTCAGAACCAGAGGTATGATGTCGACAGTAAGGATCGGCCACGCTGGTCATTTATTGACAAGGTGTTGGACATCTCTTTTAATTCGCATCACAATCTACTTTTCATAATGCAATTTCGATGCAAAATCATATAGTGACGGTTTTGAGTGGGAAGTGACTGGACCTGAGCTTCATCCTGGCTAAGGACTTCCGGGTTTTGCTTCTTCTCAACACTGCAAATACATATTTCTCCATAATTTTCATCTCCTTATTTCTGCATACATTCTATCGACATGTACCAAACATTAATACTGAGGCAAAAGCCACACCAGTTGACGGTTTTCGTATAGAGTCTTTGTTCTTGTCATATCAGGTTGTCTATTTGTAGCAGGACACTTACAGAGACTGGCACTGTCTTATGTGACCTGAAAAGGTCACGAAAGTCAATTTAAAGATTATAAGGACAAATGATTGAGAATATACAATACATTCCCAAACTATCAGATGTCCGATTCTGTCAACACTACCGACATGGACACTGATCAACAAGCAAATCTAGTTCCGTCTCATCACACTCCAATGCCTCCTCCAGACCCCCGCGATATCTCTCCTTAGGAAGTAGTCCGATAGATTCGGAGAATGCCATGGATGAATGAATGCTCAGTTACCAAGGGCGTGGATGGTACCCACGAATCCCAGAGTCTATGCGGGTGAATGGGTAGTTTCGTGGCACCAGTCGTCAAAGACAATGGAAGCTAAAAGAATAACAAGAAATCAGATTGCATGCTACCTTTTCAAAATATTGTTCATCGGATAGGTCACTGAAATGCATTCTGTTGTGAATAAATGTTTGTACGAATTGTAGTCTTTATCTGTCTTCCCAGTAGCGTGTAGCAATGTTGACATACCTATAAAGCCCTGTAATCCATAAGGGATCCGTTTCGACATTTGACCTAGTACATTACGTATCTGCTGTAGGTCACGGATCCAGATAGACTACACAAATAAGAAATAGAACCATTCTCGTTTCAGCGCCATGAGGAAAGGGTCCCGGAAAGCGAGGGCTGAGTTGAGGTTGCTCTGACTTGTGTTCTACAGGAGACAGTTTAAAGTTTGTAAAGTTGTATCCTGGCTGAGAAGTTATTAGGGTTTGGGAAAAACCACATCCAAACCGTCTGCTTCAATGGTGGCCTGAATCGGACTTCGCACGTTCCCGAAAAACCTTGTCATGGCGTTGTGAAGGTATGGTTGAAACCATTGCCAAAATAGTCTATGTCGAACACTGAAGGTCATTAACTTAATATTCTGCACAGGTGAATTTAAATTTGTAATTGGGGCGGTGGGGTAGCCTTGTGGTTAAAGCGTTCGCTCGTCACGCCGAAGACCCGGGATCGATTCCCCACATGGGCAAAATATGTGAAGCCCATTTCTGGTGTCCCCCACCGTGATATTGCTGGAATGTTGCTAAAAGCGGCGTAAAATCAAACTCACTCACTCACTAAATTTGTTATTTTACTTTCATTGAACAGTAGGCTCTTTGCTGCGTTTTGGATGACACTGAACATATTTCCATATATCGTTATGTTTTGTAATATCTCAGTAGTTGTGTAGTATACGTTCGTGAGGATTTCTGGTGTATCTTCTGTGTCTCAATATGAAAACCATGTTTGATTATGTATATAAAATGTCCCTGCCATTAAGGCCCCTGTAAATCCCGCGGCTTAAGGCGTCTGTAAAGAGTAATCTGAAAATCCATTTGCTAGGTCTGCACTGTAGGAATTTACAATGTGGTTGTGTGTTAACATACGTCCATTGTCAGGGTAAGCAGAGTACACGATTAAGGAGATGGTCCCCGTTTTATCTGCAAGGTTTGCTAAAACAGAATCTAGTAACCCACCATACTGCCTACCACTCTTGAGTGCCTGCCACACCTGTATGTCGTAATCCGTTCGTGACATATTGTCGTAAATCAAACTCGAGACAACAGAAGTCGTAAATTTGATAGAACTCGATGACCCGAAATGAATAAATTCTGAATTGTAAGGTTAAGTCGTCTCCAAAACTGACAATTACTCAAAACTTTATTCATACATGTGTCTGTGCACATCGAGAGACAAAGGCAGATATCTGCAGCAGATAAAACAACGCACGCGTGTAGTATTGTGATTGAGCTGTCAGTTGAATCGATAGGTATGGATAAACAATACTTGTATTCAGTCCGTTGTTTTTTTTCAATTACTGTATTGAATATCGGACACAATGATTAATTTGAGTTGTGAAATTGTGCAGAAGACATTTCTATAAATGTCAAGGTCTCCATTTTTCAGCAAGATATCTATGATAACTTTGTATTGTGTGCCGCTACTGCCAAACATAGACAGCTGAGTACTGACACGTGTCTTCCTTCACACATCCTCGATAGGGGCTGGTACGTACGAACGTTTGGACCATACCTACAATAAGAATAAGGAAGCATGTAACCTGCTAGATATAATTGACTGTATCCGTTTGTGGGATATGGCTGGTCAGACTAAGAGATAACGTTTTACGTCATCATAGTTCCGTACATTCAATTTGTTGTCGGGTTGATGATTTAGATGATGGTATAAAGAACAATAAACACCATATCATTTAATATAAATATAATTACTCTTTTATTGCTATACAACGTGTCTAGCGTGATAATTGATCACATAGAGTTATAAGTTTAGCAAGTATAAACATATTGAAGATAGCGCATTTAAGATCAAACGATGACTTTTTCTTTATTTCAGGCCTATAGTACATTTCATATATACAAATTTCTTATCGACACGGCTTGATAAATAAAAACCGCAACATTTTTAATTACACTTTCATTTGAAGAATTCAATAGAGACGAAAATTTATCAATTGATGGATGGACAAATAGAGTTCTTTAATATATTTTTTACTTATAGTATTACATGCTGATCTTCTTTAAGATCATTATTACAACATCTACATATTCTATCCTCTCTTTTGATATTCATAAACCTACCTCTTTCAATTAATAAATCATGAGATGAACAACGGAAACGAGCTAAAGCTATTCTATATTTCTTAACATTAACACATGATAAATAACGTTCAGTATAAATGTGTGTTTTAAAGATTGAATAATAATTACATTTTGTAGGTAATGAATTGTTTCCAACCATTTCTGCTGGTAAATATCTTTTAATCTTTGAGTGAATGCATTTAGAAACAATGACGAACATTCAACGCTTTGTTCTACCATAAATGATTAAATCCTGTAGAAAATAGTAGGTGTTTAACATGTGTTGCCCAATTCTTTTTACCTTCTTTGTCATATAGTAACATCATATTATAGCATTCTTTGGTAAACGGTAGGATGGAATACTTAATAACCTTTATCCAATATTTGATAGCCCTGATTTGTGAAGATAAGATGAGCGGGTATCTGCCACATTCCCCATATACCGTAACATTTGATGTGCTCATCTTTACCCCGAGACATTTCTTGCAAGCAAATAAATGTACCTTTTCTATGGAATCAAAGTATTTAAATCCCCATATTTCCGCACCATACAGTAGAATTGGTTTGATTTTAACATCAAATATTCTAAAAAAGGACGTAAAGTTTAAATCCCCAAGTATTTTTATATTTCTCAATATACCTGTCAATACCTTAGTGCTTGAATAGATGCATATTTTGCATGTACCAGCCATGAAAGATGATTAGTGAAGTATACACCAAGGTATTTATATGAAGTGGTAGTCTCTATAGTACTTCCTATAAAACCATTTTTCCCTTTTTGATCATTTCCCCCTTTTTTAAAAACAACTACTTTCGTTTTATCCATATTTACACTTAGGCATGATATTTTACAGTAGTTTTCTAGTTCGTTAATTTGCTTCTGTAGGCCAATGATAGTACTCGAGATGAGAACAATATCATCTGCAAATAATAAAAGGAAAAGATGAAACATATCGGGATGCAACTGTATACCATGTGAGCAATTATTTTACAATCTGTACTGAACGATGACAGAGAGGTTTATCTTACATTTATCAACTTATTATACAGGTACTTCAAATGTGTGCACACACTATTTCACATTATTCATAAACGAAAAGATAGCAGTATCTCTACAAGTGCAAATCAATTCGTCCTACCTGTAAGCGGTTTAAGTACTTAAGTACCTGACAGATGTTGAGATCCCAGACACAAATACCACCCAACTGCACAGACAGTACAAAGTGGCCGCCTCGTAATTGATGGATGGATTTTTGCCGGCTTATATCGACAGGCCATTGGTAGTCATAATATCTCCATAAATCGCAGCGTCAGTCACAGACGCTTTGGTGCACTTTGTACTTCACAGCGTTTATCTTCCAAACAAATGCGTTGCGATATTAACCCTTGTGTAAGAGATTGATGCAATGTCCACTTTCTGCTGATGTGTATATTGCAAATAGATGCAATCTGTATCTCTTGCATGATACACAAACTGTAATCACATTGGCATCCTATACAGTGCACTTCTAAAGGAGTCCCTGGCTGGTCGACTGGCTCGGCTTACCGCGGCAGGTAACAAACAAAAAATGACCCTTTTTCAAAGTAAATTATAGGAGTGGGGAGTGGAAGGACATACTTACCCTTTTTGAGAACACCTGGTGTCACGGCTAATTTTCAATTACCCATTCATATTATTGTTACCACTATTCTTCCTTTTGCGGACCCGTGAAGATCCGGGTTAGAATTGATCTTCAGTCACCCATGCTTGTCGTAAGAGGCAACCAACGGGAATCGGATGGTCAGGCTCGCTGAATGGGTTGACACATGTCATCGTATCCCAATTGCGTAGATCGATGTTCATGCTGTTGATCACTGGATTGTCTTGCCCAGACTCGATTATTTACAGACCGCCGCCATATAGCTGAGATATTGCTGAGTGCGGCGTAAAACTAAACTCACTCACTCTTCCTTAAGAGCCTAATGAAATCCTAAGCTATAGCAGGTATAGCCTAGATGATCACCTGTGTATGCGATCAATAATTTATTTGACAAATTGTTTAAGCTCTAAAAAAGGGGGTCATTTTTGTTGTGAAAGTAATAACTTGAAAATAGACAACTAATAAATGATATGTATACTGATGAAAAGAATACAATTGTTTTCTAAACTATATGCAAATGACCTGGTCAACTGATTTACCCCTGGATCTCTTCGACTTAGTTTACATATCAATCTGGCTGGCGTTGTTGTAAGACCATTAACCACAGATCAAAAAGCACATTGATAATCCACATTCGTATTCAGTCCGTAATTTCACAGCGATTTCTAAATGTCTATCAACACCGTGATCTGATTCAGTATACGTTAAGCTGATGATTTCATAAAGGGATATTTAAAGTACAATACATGTATATAATAGTACAATATAATTGCAAGTATTAACTACCGTGGTACAAGTCCAGGGTGAAATAATTGCCCAACAGATTACCTGAGCTGCAGATACCGATGTTTATTAAGCCCACTACGTGTTTCCACTACCTGTCCGAATAAATCAAGGAAAAGCGTATCAAACCTATGCTATATTATCAATAACACACAGATTATGGCCGCCATGCACCTGAAACGGTATAGCCACACTCAATCCGGGGATCTACTGCTGCCCGCGTTCCTGCGAGTATTCCTGATTACATATGTATGCTGGATGTCACATAACTGCCGCACATATCCCAGTTTGTCCCATCCTATTCCACCCCACATCATGTCTCCTTCTAATCCCATCTCACTTCCATCCCATCATCTGTGCCATCCGATCTCCCACTGCCCCGACCCCTCAATTCCACACCATTCCATCCAAATCCACACCCTGACCCATCCTATACACTACTACTACTACTACTACTACTACTAATACTACTACTACTACTACTGACAACGATTGTGTACCTTACAATACAATTGTACTATGGGCCATGTGGCCTAATATACGGAATAAACTTGACTGACTTCTACTACTACTACTACTACTACTACTACTACTACTACTACTACTACTACTACTACTATCACCACATACCAGTATCACTCGACTGCCTCCGTGGTGTAGTAGTTAGAGCGTCGGCCCAGAGTGATGAAGGCCGCGGGATCGATCCCCGGCCGCGCCATACCAAAAGACGTTAAAATATGGTATTTGTTGGTCCCTGCTTGGCGCTCGTCATTAATGGATATAACAAGGACTGGTCGGCTCGGAGTTAGTATAATGTGTCTGAGTAGGGTATTCATGCTTCACTGCGGCATGGTATCTCAGTGAGCTGGCACTATAAAACCATCTTAAGTCTGGGCTAGTACAAGCAGCCACACATATACACGCATGCACGTCGCCTTATGAACGAAATATTCTTAAGTATGACGTTAAACCCCATTTCACCTCACCTCATATTGTCACGTCAGGTCTGGTAAATCACAAGTTTGTCGATCATTTACAGGCTGTCGACATTAAGCGAGGCTTCATTTCACTACGAACATCGTAATTGTCTACTTACGACAGTCGCTGAGCTACAAATAGCGCTGATGTGGCGAAGAACGAATGCGCAGAACGAACCAAGTAAATGATCTCTATCGACCGAACGTACCAGCCCTCTATAGGCATGTAACAATACTATTAACTCGGGGTAACCAGAACACAGCTACAGCATTGGGAACACCCCAGGCAGAATGGAAGTGGTGGGGTAAATATTTGCCCATTGTAATGGTATGTTTTCTTTACATGCAAAATGGCCATTTCTCTTCAAGTGGAATCACATAAGCTGAAGGGTCAATGCTTTCTTTTAGCCACCTGTAGTCTGGTGTAGCATTTGGATTAAGTTACTCCAGTAACTGCATTGCATTAGGGTAAGAATCACAGGGCGCTGATACCTTGGACGTTGTAAGATGGCAGTGTGGCTGCTTCATGGTAAATAATTCTTGCTTTTGTCTCAATAACACTGTGCTATGTTTATACTGTATTTTCATTACGTTGCTATATAATCATATTACGTCAAGGGTTTCTTGTTTCTTCAAGAGAATTCACTATGTGACAAACTATCGTGAACTCTGTAACAGTAGAGGGGTGATTCCATGCTACCGTTATGACATGAACTTTCTGATTTTACGTACTTGTCTTTAGTGTCAGTATTTCGTGACGTTTTATCGCAGTGTTGCTACCAGCGACCTATAACCGTGACACATCGATGTGCTGGTTTGTAACTTCAGGTTGTGTGTTTTATCGCAGTGTTGCTACCAGCGACCTATAACCATAACACATCGAAATTGGAATAGACAAAGCATACTTTTGATTGGATGATATCACGAGGAACTCTCCACTCCATCAGCTACTATGACACACCGACGAGTACCATGACACACGTCGGGTACCATGACACACAGTCGAGGACCATGGCACACAGTCGAGTACCATGACAAATAGTCGAGTACCATGACACACAATCGAGTACCATGACACACAATCGAGTAGTACCATGACACATGACTCACAGAGTACCTTGACACACAGTTGAGTACCATGACACACAATCGAGTACCATGACACACAGTCGAGTACCGTGACACACAGTCAGTACCAGTGACACACAATCGAGTACCGTGACACACAATCCGAGTACCATGACACACAATCGAGTACCATGACACACAGTCGAGTACCATGACACACAATCGAGTACCATGACACACAGTCGAGTACCATGACACACAGTCGAGTACCATGACACACAATCGAGTACCATGACACACAATCCAGTACCATGACACACAATCGAGTACCATGACACAGTCGAGTTGAGTACCATGACCATGACATAGTCGAGCACCGTGACACACAGTTGAGTACCATGACACACGGTCGAGTACCATGACACACAGTCGAGTACCATGACACACAGTCGAGTACCATGACACATAGTCGAGCACCGTGACACACAGTCGAGTACCATGACACACGGTCGAGTATCATGACACACAGTCGAGTATCATGACACACAGTCGAGTACCGTGACACACAATCGAGTACCGTGACACACAGTCGAGTACCGTGACACACAAGCGAGTACCATGACACACAGTCGAGTACCGTGACACACAGTCGAGTACCGTGACACACAGTCGAGTACCATCGTACACAGTCGAGTAACATACCACCGAGTACCGTGACACGACGTCCGGTACCATGACACATTACACTCCTTCGAGTACCATCATCAAACTTCATCATATATGTGTATTTTTACGAGTGTATGTGTGTGTGCGTGCGTGCATGTACACGTGTGTGTTTGTGTGTGCGTTGTTGTTGTTGTTGTTGTTCTTGGTGTGTATTTGAAGTAACCACTTTTAATAAGATATATATCGTTTTGCAGGTGTCTCGCTAAGTAACAACAAGTATTATGTCTGGCCGGAAGTACGGGAGCGATAAAGAGGTAGCGGCCGTGACCTTCAACATGAAGGAACAGCGATGTCTCGAAAAATCCCTACAAACCCTGACTTTGGAGAAAACATACTCCCTCAAACTCCTCGACCTTGACCATAGAATCATCAAAGTCAACTACCGGCGTCTGAAGGACAAGGTATCCAGGATCAAGTCCAACCTATCAGCTGACGAAATTTCAGATCTACGACAGCTTGAAGCAGACGGCAAACTGCGACCGGCGTACAACTCGGTGAACATCAGTGGAGCTTTAAAAATCGCAGCAGCATCGAGGAGGCTTAAATTTCAGAGGCCTTTACGAGACCGAGCATCTAGTGCCCATCCTCGTCTCACAGGGCGCAATGAAGGAACCACTCACCCTACTCCAACTCTACCTGGTCTGTGTAGGAGTAACTCAGTTACCGGAGTGTTCATCGATGCCCCAGCCTCTGAGGTCACAAGGCGGAGAATGTCTGTAGACGTGATTCCTAATAATGACAAGCTGAGACCTTTCAGTGCTTTCACAATCGGACAATCAAGCGCTCACGAAACAAAAGGCGATGAGGTGAATAAAAGACCCGCGACATCGTCATGTGTAGGTTTTGACAAGACTAAGCTTGTGTCCCGACCCACGACTGGTGCGTCATGTAACAGCGTTTCTCACGGGCACACACATTCCCCCTTTTCTTCTCACTCTCAGGCAGAAAAGGATGCACGTGTCCCCTCAGCTTCTATCAACCGCCGTCAGAGTCGGGAGTTGAAATCCATGTACCCATCTGATGATTCAATAGACTCCAACTTGGGGGATGATCTGTATGAAGAACGGAGACAGGAGCTTTTGGAGGAGGAGCTGGCCAGAACTGAGGAGCTCGAGCTCCGGAAAGAGGAGTTCCTTCAGAAAATAGACGATTATCTGAGACGAACGAGTTCCCTTGGGGAGATGGACGAGGTGGCGATCACTAAAGCCGAATCTTTGAAAAGTCTCATTGTAAGTGAGAGGGTAAGTTCAGCCAAAAATGGAAAACGGCTCACTAAGAGAAGACAGATGAAAGTGGATTTCGACCAGACGCCCACTTTTCTTCCCGAAGCAGATTATCGTCGGCGTTTATTCAATTTATGGACAGACATGAACAAGTGTCGGTATCTTCGTGTACCAGAGGAGCTAATAGACCTCTCCGGGATCCAGACTTTAGCTAAAGACCAGATGCTGCTGTTCGAGGTTTTACGCAAAGCTGAGCAAGACTCACTCACGGCGTCCGCTGAGTTGTGAAGGAGGGGTGAGGGGTTCAGCAGAATGCAGCCTTTAACATGGTCCGGACATTGCAAATGGGCTAAACACAGTGACGAATCACGAAGTTATAGCGCAAATGTCAGCATTTGTGAGTGAGCGACAAAGATCTAGATTCGGCTGTTGATTGTAGGGGGTAGTTTCTGAAGTTTTGCCTGTTAAACACAATTATTGGTGTGATGAGATAAGTGAAGTTTAGGTTGTCAGTATCTCTCCAAAAGTCGAGAGGAATGTTATCTCCTATATGTACTTTTGTACTATGCAACATGCGTCATTCCTGTACTTATATATACTTTAATAACACCAATAAATGGAATTCATTGCACACAATTAAATTGTGTTCAGGTAATACGTATTTGTCCAGTAGTTCATGCCGCTTAATATATTAGAAAATTTATTATATTTTATGTTTGAACACAGAGAAATGGTAATTCAAGTTTTTTGGACTTCGTTTCTGCACAAGCAGGGAATAAAGCGCTATATAAATAGATTGTCATTGTTAATATTAATATTTAATATTTCAATCGGAAGTGCTTTTGCCCGTGCTGTGCGCATGCTTTGCCACAGAAGCAGCAAACCGTGATATTAACTGTTGCCGAGCTCCCTATAGGTGGTGACATTACACGGGTGTACTGGGTTGTCCCTCATGTTGTTATTTCCAGTGGGCGCATACACCGGCGTTATCATCGACTCACTGGGATCCAAAGGGATCAATACTGAGTCAAACAAGTGAGATAGCGAGTGTTCAGGCACTGTTCCCTTCGGAATCTGTACACTGCCCGCTCCTTGGGCGTCTACACAAACAGTCACTGTTTTCACGTCAAAATGGACGTAGTGGAAACATCAAAGACCAAGACATCACACTACAACGTGTGTAATGTCTGTCACGTGTTATGGATCAGTCTGAGTGTGTCTGTAACCCATACATGACAACGTCACCCATACTTACTATGACTATATCTGCTTGGGTTCCAAACAGACCGGGGCGGTGGGGTAGCCTAGTGGTTAAAGCGTTGGCTCGTCACGCCGAAGACCCGGGTTCGAATCCCCACATGGGTACAATGTGTGAAGCCCATTTCTGGTGTCCCCCGCCGTTATGTTGCTGGAATATTGCTAAAAGCGGCGTAAAACCAAACTCAGTCAGTCAGTCAGTCAGTCCAAACAGACCACCGTTAGGACTGCAACGGGATGAGTGTTTGTTCCTCGACATCTTCTCTGCAACAGGAGCGGTGGGGTAGCCTAATAGTTAAAGCGTTCGCTAGTCATGCCGAAGACCTGAGTTCGATTCTCCACATGGGTACAATGTGTGAAGCCCTTTTCTGGTGTCTCCCGCCGTGATATTGCTGGAATATTGCTAAAAGCGGCGTAAAAAAATACAACTCACTCACTCACTCTTCTCTGCAATATCTGATCTATCCATTGACGGGTGTACTGGGTGTCTTTCCTCTCTTCTCTACCTCGGGAGAACTGTAGAGACTATGTTCTATCATTGACAGGCAAAATCTTCAAATTTACCAGATTTCGAAAAGAAAACATGTTTGTTTTCTTAACACATACTAAATTACTATATCATAATCTAACATATATCTTTGAGCAACTTAGTGTTATTTTATGTTGGGAGCAATCAGTTTTGATGTCAACAGACAAAAACAGGATATTTCGAGATAGGGTTGAGCGATTACATAGGTACTGTGTTAACACTTGTATGTATTCCAGGAAACGTTCCATAAAGTTATATCAGCGTTGCGATACTCAAGAATATATATGTTTACCAGTCTAAGTAAACGCAGGCTCAGTATTATTCGTTACACTGCTATACTGAATCTAACAAAACCTAGTAGAAGGTCGCGTCAGCTAACCTTTGAGTGACATATGACCTCCTAATCAAACGCGAGACGGCCGAACGGATTTAACCAATCAGACAACGACTACTTGTTAACAACAAACGAAAATCCGCATAAAACAGCTATTTGACCTTCACTATATACGCTTATGGGTTTCTAATGATATGGTTACTATTTGCTTATATTTTAGCAAGATGACATCCTTGAATATTGACGAAAACGCTATTTTCAGCGACTGTTTACTCATTGCGTGTATCACTCGGAAGCGATCGTGCGGAAAATAGCATTCGGAATGGTTCGAGTTTTTGAGGTAAAGGTTTTAAACGGTATGTGCGAATGTTAACTTTCGCGATTTGGTAAGCTGTGTTCTGATTGGTCAGTCCCAAAAGGTTAGCTGACGCGACTTTCTACTAGGTTTTGTTAGACTCAGTATAGCAGTGTAAAGAATAATACTGAGCCTAAGTATACTTAGACTGATATGTTTACGATAGTCATAGCCTTGAGACCACTTTTTCTTCCCCTAATATTTCAGTCAGTAAGGAATGAGCTTGTAATCTATTGCTGTGAAAGATCTACAACATCGTTTGCTGGTAACGCTTAAGTCGAACGGTGACCCTGTGACCCTCGACTGATAAAAGGTAGACCAAAAGAAGAAAGTTCTTGGTGCAAAATGACTGTCAACAGAACACGTTGGTTGGACGAAAGAACGTGTAATAAATAATAAACGTTTCGGGTGCCTTGGTCAAAATTGGCCCTGTCCCCACCAATAATCAAACACAGCCCGATTCAATCGGTGTAGGCCCGGGAAAGCGAAATTTCAATATTCCCTATTCCCGGTAAAGCGAAAACCAAAGTTCTGCTAGAAGTGCCGTGAAAGCGAATTGCTATGAAAACATCGGATTACCGTACTTCAGATTAGGGCACGACCCCAATACTCGATCTGTTAGCCGCTTAACTGAGAGGAAGTTTCAGTTGTTTCAAGTTTCAGCACTTGATCTATGACAAGTCTAAGCATTGGTGTAGGAAAACCCTCCGAGAAAAGAAGTATTGAAGCTGTGTAGTAAAATTTGTTTGTTTGACTTAATTGACTATTTTATTTAATCCACCGTGCAAAGACGGTTGCCCGAGCAGATCTCACTAATTCTCAGTTAACTGGGACAATTGCTGTCGCCGACATTTTGGCTGTCGGTGCTTTCAAATTTAATATTAAATCTAGGTGTATCTGTGCAGGTATTCTAAATAACACTAAATTTACAATAAGTATCAACCTTCATTAAGACTGCAGTAAGTTATATTGCAGCGTCAGAAGCAAACATCTGGTTCTGTTGGTATGGCATTTTGCTATGTCGGTAGAGTGCGTACGTTTACAGTTTGGGTTAAATTCTGCCCATATTAGCATGTCGGTGGTACACCAACCAAAATTCAACCCGATGAAAAAACCCACGTTTTAGATTATGTCGGTAGAGTCAGAGGTAATTTACGTTACGTTGCTTTATTTTCATAATGTTTGTTTACAGCTTTTCAGTAAATTGTGATACCATCATCAGTCACAGATGTCCCACAAGATAATTTTTCTGACACCTGATTGGCCTGTTCATCAATATTTTTCTCGATATCTTACGCATTGATTTTACAGTTCGGTCTCTGTCACATATGTAATTCGGGTATGAAATTTGCATGACATGTTAATGTCTGTTGATTGCAACGTTACACAAAAATGAGCATGTATTTACAAAAACCTAACATCTCTCAAAATCTAGCAATGAACCACAGTTAATGCACACCCAGTGACTGGGTTCGGTATCCCGGCTGCATTCTGTACATTTTTGATTTGGGATTATCGCGGCGTTTATTTGTTTTTCATAATTTGCATATTATTGTTGAAGAAGTGATATTGTGTTTTAATTATGTTTGATTTTTTGGTTGCATGTGACCCTTTTTAACATTGATTTTTCTTACAATGGAACATCGACATCAGTAGAGATATTTTGTAATCATATTTATAACTCATCTAGTATGACAGTAACAGTCTTCATAACATTTGGGGCCCGGCGGTATGTTGTTATACATTACCAAGCATTCTGTATTTATTCATCTTGCCATAACATTATTCATTACGTTACGTTACTATAATTTACGTTACCGCCTGGAAATTTGGAACTTTTGTGCTTTGTTGTCTCAGGTCGATTTGACGACACTGCATTGACGCATATATAACTAAAACCGTCACGTGCCGTGAAGAATTGGAAGTCTACGATTGCAATTAATTATTGGCGCTGCTTCAGAAATCATCCTCCGTCAAAAAGTCGTTTTATCCAAGCTGATCCTTCTTCTGACCACTGGTCAACTTAAATTTCTATTTCAAGATACCGCTTTGACAATGTCAGGGAATTTATTTACTGAGAAAGTGTAATTCCAAATATAACATGTGAAAGTAAGTTAGTCAGAAAGATATGATGAACATTGAATATTCATTATTAATTATTGATTAACAGTTGATTACTTTAATATACGACCAGTGGAAAATCCGGGTTAGAATTGGCCTTCAACAGCCCAGCCTTCAGAGGCGACTAACGGGATCGGGTGGTCAGGCTCGCTGACTTGGTTTACACATGTCATCGTATGCCGACTACGTATACGTAGATCGATGTCGATGATGTCAGTCACAGCATCGTCTGTTCCGATATTTACATATTGTTGAATACGGCATTAATAAAACGGCAAACGAACATACAAAATGACATACTTGTCTGTTATAACTATTAAGTCCACATTTGACACATAAAAGCATCCATGGCTTGTTACATATCTGTATATTTAATACTCTGTTACCTGAACGAGTAACTTACGAACCGTACGTAAGAGTTTACGTTCAAATCGACTACATCGCGTTCTTCACGGGAGTTGTGTACTTATTAAGTGAGTTGCTGGGCAAAATACAGTAATTAGTGAAACATTGTTTGTTTTTCCATATGACTGTTGCTGTGAAAAGTGGATTGTTGTCACTGAAGCGTCTGTCAGTGTTGATGGCAAAGAAATACATCCTCATGTTATCATTGTCTGAGCAATATCATGAGTATTGTGCTCACAATGTAACCACCTCTTGTAGTAAGTTACGGAAAGATGCGAGCGGTGACAAGTGAGTTCCGTTGAGAGGACGCTTGGTGAGATTGAGTATAAAGGAGAGACAAAGCCCTGATAGACTAGGATCTCATACTTTGACTTCGTTATTTCGGCCCGACACTGTGCTGCAAATTTGAGATGTATCTGCAAGAAGCTTACAGAAGACCCTTACTTCTAATACAATCCCTTCATCCAATTCCGTATCACGACAGGGAGACCATACTCTAAGAACGGAACCAGTCCACACATACAGTTTTGTACAACAGTGTTGTGAGTTGACGAATCTAACGAAGCGAACGTAAAATGGCTGTGAGCTCAATCACATTTGTGAGTCATTCGTTCAAAAGCCCAGCGATCGTTTGCACATCTGTTATAATCCCTGATAGAGCTTCCCTGTCAACATTATACCGTTGTGTGATTGGTGTGTTTCTAGTTGTATATACACGGTTATGACATAGCATGTGTATACCAGTACAGTAGTTTTACAAAATATTTGTTCAATTTTAGGACACTGGCTATGCGTTACGTGATGAAACACTACAATCATTAATATTAATGGCCAAATGAGAGTTGTTCTAACTGTCAGTCAGAAAATACGTAATGATAGAGCATGTGTCATTTCCTGTGAAGTGACATGGTAAATCATACCCAAAGAAGAATACCACATGCATCCACCATTGAGGATGAGTGTTTTCGTTTACCTGTCCACTTTTTGTGAGTGAGTGAGTTTGGTTTTACGCCATTTTTAGCAATATTCCAGCAATATCACGGCGAGGGACACCAGAAATGGGCATCACACATTGTACCCATGTGGGGAATCGAACCCGAATCTACGGCGTGACGAGCGAACGCTTTAACCACTTGGCTACCCCACCGCTCCTGTCCATTTGATGATAGCTGCATTATGGGTAAACGCCAGGCATGGAAAGTTATATATTAAGCTTGATCCTTAGGAAAGAACGGAACGATAACCATTAAAAGTATGGCCTACATTCCTTGTTATCATTGACTGATTTATTTATTGGTTGGTTGGTTCGTGCACACAAACAGTTTAGGTTAATCCTTAGTGAAGAATGGAATGATAACCATTATAACCATGGCCTACCATAGGCGGATCCCAGACAGAGGGGTCGTGTGTGTGTGTGTGTGTGTGTGTGTGTGTGTGTGTGTGCGTGCGTGCGTGCGCGCGCGCTTTTTGTCCTGAAAGTTGATGGAATGATGACCATTGAAACTCGTCAAAATGAAATGCGCGCACACACACACACACACCTTTCTAAAAATGCACGCACGCACGCACACACGCATGCACGCACGCGCACGCGCGCGCGCACACACACACACACACACACACATATCTAAACAAGCTGCATTAGCCCCTGCCTACCCTGCATGATTGAAGTAATCCCCACTTTGTACGGTCACGAAATGACAACATCTTCAGCAACAGTTTCGTAACTAATCTATATCAACGTTTATTATCACCAACGGCAGTGTTCATCAGAGCTTTCTTTCACTATGATGCATGTATTTCTAAAAATATGTTTCTTAAAAAACACCTTAGTTGACATGTAGTCATATTTCGTACTTTACTTTATTTTAGTTGTGTAATAAAGTGTTACTTTTTGGAAGGTTCTCGAACAAATTGTTTAGTGGTCGTTAAATAACATAACATTTTTGGAGTAATGTCCCTTGAAATTAACACGCGTAGTGATATGTCTATTTGACGTCCTATGCTGATGTTGCCAAACAGTATAACTAATGCTTAGATATAAAATATATGACATTCGTGTTTTTTTTGAAAAATAAGTGGTGAACGAATTATAATTGTCATATAGCTAAGAACTACTTTATATCGCGAACGGACTTCCGGTGGCTGTTGTTAGGCTATGCCACATGTTGATTCATATTTCAGAATAATCCTTGACTCAGAGGAATTTAGCGTGGAAGACATCATTGTCAGTCAATATTTTCATCCCAATCTGAACAGTTGCAGGTTTGAACGCATTTTCTTTACTAGTTTTTAGACTTTCTTACGTAATACGCAATTGTGATGAATGTTCTTACTTGGGCCGGTGACAGCTATGTAAACAATGATAGTATTTCCATAGTTACCGGCAGTGCTGTGACTGAGATCGTGTTTGATAAATTGAGACAAGTAATATATTTGATTTTCTAGACATGGCAAAACAAATTACTCAACAGACATTTGACGAAGTTGTCAAAGAGAACATGGAAGATTTTGACATGTCCGTTGATGATGCTATAGAAGATGCAGTCCAGCAATTCCAGACTCAGGTAAATTGTTTTTTTCCACAACCTTGGTTTTATTAATAAAATGTGTTTCTATACCAGTGTACCGCCTAAAGTTATGTTCTGCCTTACTATCAGACAACTATGACCAGATATCACATAATAACAAACTAAATAAACCATGTTCTATACCAGTGTACCGCCTATAGTTATGTTCTGCCTTACTATCAGACAACTATGACCAGATATCACATAATAACAAACTAAATAAACCATGTTCTATACCAGTGTACCGCCTATAGTTATGTTCTGCCTTACTATCAGACAACTATGACCAGATATCACATAATAACAAACTAAATAAACCATGTTCTATACCAGTGTACGCCTATAGTTATGTTCTGCCTTACTATCAGACAACTATGACCAGATATCACATAATAACAAACTAAATAAACCATGTTCTATACCAGTGTACGCCTATAGTTATGTTCTGCCTTACTATCAGACAACTATGACCAGATATCACATAATAACAAACTAAATAAACCATGTTCTATACCAGTGTACGCCTATAGTTATGTTCTGCCTTACTATCAGACAACTATGACCAGATATCACATAATAACAAACTAAATAAACCATGTTCTATACCAGTGTACCGCCTATAGTTATGTTCTGCCTTACTATCAGACAACTATGACCAGATATCACATAATAACAAACTAAATAAACCATGTTCTATACCAGTGTACTGCCTATAGTTATGTTCTTCCTTACTATCAGACAACTATGACCAGATATCACATAATAACAAACTAAATAAACCATGTAGTATATGGTCTCTGCTGTAAGTACAAGTATGTATTTGGACTCATCATACATGTGCAGTTGTCTTTATTTTATCTTCGTCAGTATTGATAAATCCTATGGTGTCTACCACTGGGTGTCTCTGGTGAAAAACATACAACTGGAAGCTGGAGCTCTGGAATCATCATCAATATCTGACATGTGTATGCACTACATTCCCCCATGTAGTCTGCATACAATCAATAGAGAGTTTTGTCGTCTTTTGTTTTTGTTCTATATCAAAAATGAAATTAGACTACTGTGGCATGATAATAGAGCTACTGTACAATAGATGGATTCAGCACTGAGACAATAATGAATGAGAAATATAGCCATATGTACAATGTAATAAATGTATGAGCACAGACCGATAAAAATGACTCCTATTATGATTCACTCGCATATTCGATGAATTGAACCATATCCCTTGATGAATTCATTATACTTTATCATTAGAATTGAATATTTACGAATATTTTTAAGAGAGTGTTTTTACTTAAACTAGTTTGTTATTTTTCTGGGTGAGCTACACTATAAGCCGCATTGTTTGTGATGTACTGCTTTTTTGCTTTATATTAAATATCATTTAAAGGAATATTGAATCCTTGAACAAAAAATTATTCATGAATAAATATTCATATTCGTCACTATATATTCATGAAACATATAATTGTTACAGCTCTAGTAAAAATAGTGATGATGTTGTGGACTTGACAAATAATTCTAATGTCATCATATGTATTGAGTAATATCCTGATTTTGTCTCAGTGTAGTCAGTAGACATAATAGAGAGATGCTGAGTGTCAACTATTCATTGAAATCTGAAAATGGAATCAGTTTAGATAATGAAAACAAATGTTTGTTCTCCAGGGCGTGTCTTTAGACAACATCGTAAAGGATGGGAGTTTATACAGTGCAGGAGGAGCAGGAGGAGATGACGTCATCCACCCCCGTCATCAAAGCAGTTCAGGATCTGTCCCTTGTATCCGACAATGCTGATGTTGAGGAAGTCACGTCGATGCTGTCAGTTGTTCAGTCAGAATGTGATGTCGATTTGTCTCGCAGGTGTTTGGCTGGAAGTAACAACGCCTACCCAGTCCTTTTGAAAATGTGTCGGAAATATGAAGAAAATCCTGTAATACTAACAACTATCTTGAAGACATTTTGTTCCCTTGTCAATGGACAACCAGACTTACTGGATGAACCTGGCAGTGTGATGTTCACAGAGTTTTTAAGAAAATTTGTATCAAATGCTGATTTGCTGGAACTTATAATCCGTGCTATTAGGTTTATGTGCATCAAACATGAAGAGAATCGACAGAACTTTGTCAGCAAAGATATAATTGTTATCTTATCTGAATTACTTGATGAGTCAAAGAAGAGCCCTAGTGTTGTTAAGGAAACATGTACATTGTTTCGTGTACTTACCAATGATGATGATGTTCGAGTCCCATTTGGAAAAGCTCATGAACATGCCAAGATGATTGTGACAGAAGGAAATGCCTTGGAAAGAATTCTCAACATTTGTAGAGGTAATTGTTTCAAATTTCACGAACGACATTCCAAGAGAAAGAGAAACCTGCAGATTATATACGAAATATGATTAAAATCAGTAATTGCTTATTCTTGATCATAATCATGTTTACAGAGTATGAACAAAACAGCAACATCCAAAGTGAGCTATTCTCGACGCTGGCCCGCCTCGCAGTCAGAGACGAGTTTTGTAATCAGGTCAATGAACTGGGAGGTCTGAAACTGATCCTGCAGGCATTTGAAAAGAATCTTGATGAAAAGGTAAGTCCCATGCTGACATGTGCAGAGTGAAGAAGTTTGGTTTAAGCTCGCTTTGAGTAGTGTCAGGTTGATGTGGGGGGGAAGGGCTGATAAAAAAGCAAGGACCAAGGGGCATAACTCATGTTGAGATCTCCTACGCTGAAGATGTAAGCTGGCATGAAAGATAATCTTTGTGTCTTTGTTTAATGTTTTAGTAAGGACAGTTGCTGATGCGTTTCTGTGTGTTACCATGGTTACAGATGCAAAAGTGAAGACTTGCATGCATTACAAGAAAACACAATTTCTTATTAATTTGGTTTAAAAAATACAGAGTGAAAATATTTTTGTTATTTCTTTTTCAGAATATTTCCAAACAAGCACTTGTGGTGCTGAAGGCCTTGGCGGGAAATGACAATGTTAAGACAGTGATTGTCAAGTCAGGTGGAGTCGAGATGATACTTGCAGCTATGACAAAGCACCAAGCCAATGCCTCCATTGCGGAGTCTGCATGTTCGGCACTGGCAACTGTGGTGCTGCGGAACCCAGGTCATGTTGCCAAGGTGATGGAGTGTGTCGGCTATCAGCAGATTGTCCAGGCCATGAAGATACACATGGATGAAATAAATGTTCAGGTGAGCAACATTTGTGACAGATTTCCAATAATTATGAAAACAGTAAACTGAATACTGCATCATTCCATCTGCCAAGCTGTCCTGGAACTGAAGCACACTCTGTGTTTAGTCATGTGCACCGTTATTGTCAGTTTACACCAACATGTTTGCAAATGGTCCTATAAAGTAACTACCCAGCCCCCAGATTGTCCAGTACACAAATGTGTGTAGCTAACTTTATTCACCCAAAAGGCCAACAGAGGGAAGAAGTAACAATCAATATCCATCCCTAAGACTCACTTGATTAATTTTGATAAAACAAATGTTGGACTCTGGACTCATTACTGCTCTGCAACCTATTAGCCCAGCGGATAAGTGATCAAATTGTGCACTTTGTGTTACAAGCATGAAATTTGGTTTGATTGTAGCTTATACCATTCTTATTACATAAAGATCGAGAGGCTTCGCAGATTTTTAATATTTTTCATATTTTTGGGGGAAAAAGTGAAAAATGATAATTTTTTCGACTATTTTCATCATAACTTTTTCTAATATTCTCCAATTCTCAAACATCATATATCAAATTGTAGAAAATTCATAGCTAATCATTTTCCATACATACATGTCTTGTCTATCTTTAATGGTTAGGTCTATGGAAGTCAATTTATATCATGACAACCCGAAAAAGGGAAAATTGACGGACATTTTTTCAAAATGGCCACCATATAGACTACAACAGTAAAATAAGTATGAGATCATTCCATGATCTAACAATTTTTTATCATTTCTTTGCAAATCAAAACGAGAAGCCTCGCAGATTTTGGCCATTTTTCATTTTGGGGGAAAATAGGGGGAGAAAAAATGAATTTTCCGAAAAATGTTATCTCAACTCAATTGTAAATCCTAATAAATTATGTATCAAGAATATTGCGAGAACTGATGAAAGTTTATTTGAAGGGATATTTCAGAAGATTTACATTTATCATCCAAAACTGTGTTCCACACCGCCTCCGTGGTGTAGTGGTTAGAGCGTCCGCACGGAGAGCGGAAGGTCGCGGGTTCGATCCCCGACCGCGTCATACCAAAAGACGTTAAAATATGGTACTTGTTGGTCCCTGCCTGGGCTAGTACAAGCAGCCGCACATACACATACACACGCATGCACGTCGTCATAGGAGCGAAACATTCTCAAGCACGACGTTAAACCCAGTCTCACCTCACCTCCACAGGAGATATCGCTTGTGTGAGATCATATGATATCTCCTAGGAGATATCGTTTTGACAGTACAATGCTCTGATTTTGTACAATGCTCTGACAATGCCATGACGTCATGAACTGATGACGTCACAATGCTATGACATCGCTGCACTGCAAGTCTAATGGTAGTACAGTGTTGAGAGATTTACAGTTTTCATTGAAAAGTTATGAAGAATGATTTTTTATGATAAATAGAATCTCACCCTCGTGTCTACTGATATCAATTATATCAACACTCGTTGATAAAGGTAAAAATAAAATTTGTACCTTTATCAAATCGTGTTGATATGATTGATATCAGTAGACACTTTGGGTGAGGTTCTCTATGTATAATGTATGAGTATCAAAATCAATGCAAACATGTTTGATTTCAACATCAATGTCAAAGTAGCTATATTCAACAATCTGTGGCAGGTTACTCAATTATGTCTTGAGTGGAATTGTATCTAGCTTGACTGAATTAGAAAATCAATTAGTCTCCTCCACATTTGCACAGTGCAGTGCACTTTAGAGCTGCTTTTACATACTTGCACCGGATTGAACATTTTTACACAGTATTTATTATTATTAGCATATTATAGGATATTTGTATAGCAAAAAGTTCTTTCTTGTTGGCATCACACCTCATAAAACTTGTCAGTTCTGAGGAACACATGAATTGGCTTCCACTCGTCGTCCTTTTGCACTTCCTCTTTTTGTTCTTGAACTGGATTTTACGTTGCGTGTTGATATTTGTCCCAAACAGCATGCACTATCTGATTGGAGTTCAGAGGAGTATGCAAGTATTTCAAGAACACATTATAAAATATCCATCCAATGTTATTTGAGCTGCGGGTTTTAGCATGTTTATTACTGCGACTCCATCAAGGATTGATACGTCAACATCTGGTTTTGAGTCAGTTTGTGGTGGAATGTCTTCAGAGCAATTGAGAAGAACTGATTTTGTGCATGGACGTAGAGAACCTTGATGAGATATAGATAGTACGCAAGAGTGATATTCATGTCTGAAAAACTCATTCAGGTTTCCATGCCTTGACTCGTCTGTATATATCTTGTCTTTATGGAAGAAATTTTACATTCATACTGTTGACACAAATGTGGTTGTGTTAGCCATGGCTGCAACAAGCGTTCTCGATCCCTACCAATGTTTCACAGCTTCACAAGTGACAGTGTGTCATCCTTTGGTAGAATAGGAAAGCAGACCTCGTGGAATGGATGGAACCCGTTTACTGAAATTACAGGCACCTTTATTTCTCTCGCTCGTCCACCACTTGAAATCACTAATGCACAGATTCATCAGCTTGAGAGATTTGTTGTGCTGCTGACAGAGCAAGCAACCACTTGAAAGTGATTGAAGCAAGAAAGCATTTGTTCCCCACGAAGGGGAGAACATTGGACAATATACCCCCAACAGAATCAGCTTTGCCCCAACATATAGAGAGCTGTATATCCGGGGGCATATGTTTGGGGGCAATCCCTGATGAAATCACAGGAGTTACCAAGCCCTCTGGATAAGGGCTGGCAATAACTTTCTCAGGGAGAGCTTGTACCTCTATTTTCAAGTCTTCTGAAGGCATCAAAGAGCTGCCAGGAATTGCTGAAATGCATTGTGGGCGAGCAGGGGGCATGGTGGGCGAGCTGTCTTAGGCAATAGGCTAGTGATCCAGCGAGCTTGCCGGGATCGAGCCCAGCTGTAACCAGCTGCAAAAACCTTGGAGTCAACTTTCTGTGCAGATTCTTTAAGTGTTGTCACAACCCCTAGTGTACAGGACACAACCCGGTGCACTTAAAAGAACCCATGAATCTATTGGTAAATGACAAGATGTCCACATGAATACGTGCAAATATCTAGTTGCGGGTACAGCAACGTGCAGTAAACCTGTACAAGGTGCTGTTACTATGTGTCCCAATCCACCCAGCTGTGAATGGGTACCTCGTAAGGATGGGAAAGCCACAATAACTTGGTGCGCCGAGTGGCTGCAACAGTTGTATGTTGCCCCGGGAGTTGAGATTGATAATACAATGTGCGTTTGAGATTGACATCCAATGATCAAGGGGGAAAAAACAAGCGCCTTGAGCATGTATCAGTTCGTGGATATGTACGTTATATAAATATCCTATAATATAATAATAAGAATGATAAATACTGTGTAAAAAATGTTCAAACCGGTCCAAATGTGTAAAAGCAGCTCTAAAGTGCACTGCACTGTGCAAATGTGGAGGAGACGATTTTCTAATTCAGTCAAGCTAGATACAATTCCACTCAAGACATAAATGAGTAACCTGCCACAGATTGTTGAATATAGCTACTTTGACATTGATGTTGAAATCAAACATGTTTGCGTTGATTTTAATATGGTTTTTATAGGTGATCCATAGGCAACCAACCTCATACATTATACATGTAAGTAAATCTTCTGATATACTCATGCCAATAATGGTTGTCACCCCCTTCAATTTTTTTAATTGGAGAGGGGGTGTGGGGTGAGGCTGTGAGGTGTGTGTGGGGTTGGGGTGGGGGGGGGTGACAACCATTATTGGCATGAGTATATATTCCTTCAAAAACTTTCATCTGTTCTCGCAATATTCTTGATACATTATTTATTAGGATTTGGAAATCTAAGACTGACTTAAGGTAAAATATGTTGAAAAATTCCACACGCACACACACACACACACCCCTTCTTTTCCCCCCCAAAAAATGTAAAATGGCCAAAATCTACGAGGCTTCTCGTTTTGATTTGCAAAGAAATGATAAAAAATTGTTAGATCATGGGATGATCTCATACTTATTTTACTGTTGTAGTCTATATGGTGGCCATTTTGAAAAATGTCCCTCAATTTTCCCTTTTTCGGGTTGTCATGATATAAATTGACTTCCATAGACCTAACCATTAAAGATAGACAAGATATGCATGGAAAATGATCAGCTATGAATTTTCTACAATTTGATATATGATGTTTGAGAATTGGAGAATATTAGAAAAAGTTATGATGAAAATAGTCGAAAAAATTATCATTTTTCACTTTTTCCCCCCAAAATATGAAAAATATAAAAAATCTGCGAGGCCTCTCGATCTTTATGTAATAAGAATGGTATAAGCTACAATCATGCCAGATTTCATGCTTGTAACACACACTGCACAATTCAGTGAAAAAACTGCACTTATCCGCTGGGCTATATGGAGGTTGTTCGACACCAGATTGATGACAGACTGCTATCATATGGCCTGAATATTGTAAAGTGCAGTATTAAGTGAAATATATACTATCATTGCTGATCAAGTAACATACTGTGTGACTACATATGTGTTTCTATTGGCCGTTTTGATCACATGATACAGTCCACGTTCTTGGTATAGTACTTTTTTTGTTTATACTTAGAGACGTTAATCATACCATTGCAGAAACAAGCCTGCATGGCTCTGCGCAACCTTGTAGCCAGGACCCGGGACAACTGTGACAAGATTCTGGAACAAGGGGCAGAGGTTCTGATCAACGAGGCACGGAGACGGCACACAGGCCTTGAAGATGAGGCAAAGGCCGCTCTACGTGATCTGGGCTGTAAGGTGGAGCTGCAGGAACGATGGAAGGGAGAGAAAGGACAAATTGTTCACTGATAGGAAACATCAACCTTGGGTGGCAGTAGCTATTTTAATATTGCCCATTGGAAATACCAAGTTTAATCACACCAGTTTATTCTGTATAGATCTGTGTGGAGGACCAACATGTCTTACAAAATGACAGTCCTTGAAATAGACACTGCTGGGCATTTTTGCAAAGATGGAAACATAGTATACCACATTATGTGGACCATTTTCCTCCTTACAAGGAGGCTCTCTATTGTCGACATTCGATGAGTTGTTTGTATCCACCTGTGCATGGGGCGGTGGGATAGCCCAGTGGTTAAATTGTTGGCTCGTCATGTCAAGGACCCAGGTTTGATTCCCCACATGGGTAAAATGTGTGAAGCTCATTTCTGGTGTCCCCCGCTGTGATATTGCTGGAATATTGCTGAAAGAGGCATAAACCATACTCACTCACTCACTCCTCCACCATGTTCACATTATGCATGACAAAACCACCATTTCTAAGACATACGCAGAAACATTTCATATTATATCTCAGGTCCCACTTGGATATAACATAAACAAGACGTATTCCACCTCATATCATTTGAGACCATAATTTAAATATTCTGCATCAATTTGCTTGTTTTGCATAAGTTATTTTTTAAATCAATGTTATGTATTTTAAGATATTCATTAAAAAACTTTAATGTAAATTCAGACTGAGATTTTGTCTTTTACCTCACAGGTTGTGAATAGCACAGTAAAATGTGTCAGTTCAGATTTTTTTTGAAACAGATTAGGTCCCCAGAAACTGGTGCTGGTTCTAATAGAGGTCAGAAAACTGGCCAGACAATTAGTAATACAAAGCAATTTAAGTTTTCACAACTGTATGTTAAATTTGGCTTTTCTATTCTTTGACAATTAACAAGTGTACCAAAATTTCCTATGTTCAAAAGGAAGACAAAATGTATCAACACATCTTTCCCTTTTGCTTGGTGAATAACATCACAGATGAATATGTACATGCATATGACATACATCTGTTTATAGGAACCTAAACTGGTGTGACTTGTTGCCTTACAACCAAATTTCATGCATAGCAAAATGCACCAGTTCAGCACTTTCCAGTACCCTGTTGTTTGGATAACCCTACCCTTTCCACAAGACAGTTGGACAAAACTGATGAACGGTCTAGGGTACCAGTCTAGTGTACCAGTCTAGGGTACTAGTGTACCAGTCTAGGGTACCAGTCTAGGGTACTAAACTAGTGTACCAGTCTAGTGTACCAGTCTAGGGTACTAGTGTACCAGTCCAGTCTAGTGTACCAGTCTAGGGTACTAAACTAGTGTACCAGTCTAGGGTACTAGTGTACCAGTCTAGGGTACTAGTCTAGTGTACCAGTCTAGGGTACTAGGGTACGAGTCTAGGGCTAGTCTAGTGTACCAGTCTAGGGTACCAGCATATTTGTGGAGCCACATTTCAGCTTCATGTGGGAGAGAGCATGCTGTGATGTATGTCGGAGATGTTTACCCCTTCAGTGCAACCCATGAGTACCATCATCATCATCATCATCATCATCATCATCACAGCCAGAAGGGACTTACATAAGGTTAAAAACACCAATCTCTGAGGTGAAATATAACTGGTGGAACGAGACACCAGGCATCACGACATTGACTTCCTTCTTCTTCATGTGGTGGACTCCAGACAATTCAGAGTGTGTTGTTAATCTGGATGACATAGATATATATTGTGTCATAATCAGTGTATCAAGATGCATATTGTATCAATGCACTCTTTAACAAATATAATTACTAAGCCCATGTTATCTGGCACACGAACATATGCAAAGTTAACGATGTGGATATACATGCATATAAAAAGTTTATTGCATTGTATTTTAAGGAACAGTATATATGAATAATGGCAACTGTCATAATAAAATAACATGTAACTCCGTACATACAGTTGCATGTCTACTCCCAAATCTCAACCCCCTGAGCCTCTGGAATATCTCACTGACCATGTTAACACAGCCAAATTGTACGCCTTAGGATTGTGAATCATTTCCTGGTGTTTTTAATTTTGTTGTCAGGACAGTAGAACATAACATTGTATGTAGTATACATTTTATACATCCTTTGTGTTGTTATAAGTTAAAGTATATGGCATCATAGATATTCCAGAAGTTAAAGGCAGGGACATGTGAGTTGTACCTGATTCTACCTCGGTATGGACAGTCAGTTTTAAGTATTATTGTACACACATATACTAATGTTGCATTCACTTCCATCTTCATTCAGAAGAAAAACAATATAAAATGTGAAAACTGAGAGGGGATAGCAATTGCAAGGTCACAAACATAAAACCACGAAACAAATATTTCACTAATCTCAATACTCGTCTCTGTTCTATTTTGAACACATAAAAATGAAATATTTTGAAAATTATTTCCTTTGATAAACTCCTGAAGTTTCACCCACACTTAAAATGTAGTGGAGAAAACTAGTAAAATCTAGATATTTTTTTATATTTGTATACTTATCCTGCATTACTCCTTAATGCATTTACTGCTTTCCTTTGACAAGACGAAGCTGTGAGAGAAGTTGTTCCAACTAAGCGAGCCACCATACTGCCATCGCACTGCACCTGGAAAGTGTTGACATTACGTATCTTCACATTACTGCTGGATCGTAACATCTGAAGAAAACCGTCGTGGGGAGGTACCGCAGCAATGGGGAGGTACCGCGGCGATGGCGGGCGACGAGACTGAGTAATGCAGGATAAGTATACAGATATAAAAAAATATCTAGATTTTACTAGATTTTGTACCTTATCCTGCATTACTCCTTAATGCATCTGTATCCGACAGAAAGGAGGTGAGCAAACCTTCAGATGGGATACTCATGATAAAAAGAAACCTCTCACACCACAGGAGATAATCCGGCAGTCGTGGTGGTAGATGAATCCCAAAGACCATACCTGCCAAGATAAATGAGAGTGTGAGGAATGGAAGGCGTCCAGGTAGGAAGGCAGTAAAAGACAAGCAAACGCTACAATCTGAAACTGACCTACCGAGAGTATACAAACAGCATGTAACCTGCTCGTCTAGGGTGACATACACCAAGAGAGTCACAAGGCTCGCTCAGGACTGCCGTGGAGTTAATGGCGATTGGGATTGGTAACCTGCTGTGCCACCACCAGGGAACCAAAACTGTGTACGCCCTCTTCATCTTCCAGTGCCACGTCCCTCTAGTAGTGACTGGCGAAAACTGTATTGGATTTCCAAAAGCATCCTTCAATGATGGATCTAATGGAACAATTACTATGGAGGGCCATCGTGGAGTCTACTGCTCGGATTCCATGAGGGTTGTCAGCCCGAGGAGGGTCCAAGTTGGCGGCTTCATAAACCTGGAGAAATGGTGGCTCGCAACCATAACACCAAAGTGTTATGACTAACTTCTGCCTTGTATGTCTTGGAGACAGGAATAAAGAGCTGTTTCCTCGCACCACAATGAGCCTTAGAGCGGCGAAGAAAACACCGAAGTGCACGAACCGGGCATAAATGAAGTTCTGCGCCATCCTCAGATCCCACAATCGAGGAGAGAGGGGGAATCGTGAAAGACCTGTCGGGCTGTCCAGGGAGTTGATTTTTTGCGATGAAGTCCCAGCACAGTCCCAGGTGGACCGCTCCATGTGGGGTCCGTTCAAAATGAACACTAGTGACATCAAGAGCATGCAGCTCGCTCACCCTAGCTGCCGTGGCCAACGCAAGCAGAAAAACAGTCTTCTTGGTGAGATTGTAAAAAGATATGGCATGAAGTTGGTCAAGTGGCGCCTCCCGTAACAGCTGAAGTACCACGTTCAGGTCCCACGCAGGCGGACTGAACTTGGCCTTCTGGTCCTCTAAACGGAACGAACGCAACAAAACTTGCAACTCTGGAATCTTGGTCATCTTCCTGTCCCCCAGGAACCGCCAATACAGAGTTCCAAGCCACCAAATATGTCGTAATAATACTGCCCTTAAGGTGTCTATGATTCCGCAAAAAACAGAAGAAATTCAGCCAACAATTGAGGTGAAGCGGTAACAGGATCCTGGTGTTTGGTCTTGCAAAACCTCTACGAAAATGTGCTGCCTTAATGGATGGAGTGAGAGATAACTTGGCAAAGTCCTCGTCCAGTGCCGTTATCAAATCCTTAATCAGCGGATCCGGAGGGGTAGAAGTTGGGTCTGACCAAATAGTGTCCCTCTTGTCAATGCCCGGACCTGGTGAAGGAGCCACCTCAGACAATCGATCGGCCATCCAATCCGGAACTTGTCGAAGTCCTAAATGAGTATTTAATTCCGGAGATGAGTCTCATAGTCTGGAACGAACCCACCTTCCGATGAATCGGAATGGTGGTTGTAAGATCTCCGGACTGGAGAACGACTCCTTGATTGGCGCTTCTGTTAAGAGGATTTCCTGCTATGGCGTGAACTGGTGTCTGGTGAAGCCGAATCGTGATAAGAAGTAGCCCTAGAAGTAGAGGCGCTACCCATAACTGTTGAAGGTGCCACACGCGTCGGTGGAGTCGAAGGAGACACAGATGAAGGAGGCGGCGGAAGTACCCATGGCGCGGCAGGTACAAGCGGTGCTGACTGTGTAGTTTGTACAAGAGGTACGGCATGCGCGCGAGGGGTGGCCATAGGGAGAAGCGCCCCAGTCGCCAGAGGTGCTGCAACTGCTGCATGTCTGAGGAGGGAGGAGAACGCCAACTGTGGAGTAAATGGAGGGATCCCCGACGGCGCCATCCTCTTTGAAACATCGACTGTATAAAAGACTGCATCCAACCTGGATCCATGTAAGGCCCCGTAGGCGCACTCTGGTCGACAGGTAAAGTAGGAGGCGCCACAGACGCTGAAGTTGACATCACAGACATCACCAAGGGCGCCGGGAGCGTAGACGGAGTCAGAGTAACCAGTGTCGATGCCGTAGCAGACGGAGTCACAGACGCAGCGGAAGGTGTCGACAATCCCCTAAAAGACGCAGAGGAAGACAAACCAGACATTGCCGTAGTCGGTGGGGGTGACGTCTCCTGTGAAGAACCCCGCACTTCCACAGTAGCCGGGGAAATAGCAGAGTCCTGAGAAGCCGACATCCTACATCTATATGCCTATTGGGTGAGTCGTTTCCTAGAAACCTGCAGATACTTACTAAAAGCTGTGGGAGAAAGTCTGAGGCAAAGAGCACACTTGGATGTCAGGGAACACTGCCGAGTACAGTTTAAACACCTCGGATGGGGGTCTCCGCTTGACTTGCTGCCGTAGCAGGCAATACAACGTGGCATAAATCTGCAACATAAGCAGAAGCCCAAAACCAATAAAGTGTGTAAGAAAAACACACACAAATAAAGAGACAACCATTATTTCCCGCCTACCAAACACATGGGTAAGGGAAAAATACATGCTTGTAACAATATACTAACAAGAAGACAAAGTCATCAATATCCCCCTTAATGGCAAAATACTCTTCATGATTATGTCTATGAGTTATGATTATGTCAAATATTAAGGTGTGTATATAGAAAAGTGGAAGGAGAGTATTGAAAGGTTTTTAAAGTTCTGCTCCAGCACTATCACCAATTTCAGTCTATGTCAAACTTGTTGCCATGGAAATGCCAAAAATATTTTATTCAGAAATCCAAAACTACCAAAAGGCACCAGTACACCACCAGATCTATGTTTGTGCCAAGTTTGGTGAAGAAACATAGAACGGTTTAGAGTTCTGCTCCGGAAAAGTGCACTACCACTAATTTCTGTTTTAGTCAAACTTGTTGCCATGGAAACGCCAAAAATATTTTATTCAGAATTCCAAAACTACCAAAAAGGAACCAGTACACCACCAGACCAATCTATGTACCAAGTTTTGTGAAGAAATAGTGAACGGTTTTAGAGTTCAGCTCCGGAAAAGAGCACTACCACCAATTTCAGGCTAAGTCAAACTTGTTGCCACGGAAAAGCCAAAAATATTTTATTCAGAATTCCAAAACTACCAAAAGGCACCAGTACACCACCAGATCTATCTATGTGCCAAGTTTGGTGAAGAAATAGTGAACGGTTTTAGAGTTCTGCTCCGGAAAAGAGCACAACCACTTATTTCATTCTAAGTCGAAATTGTTGCCATGGAAACGCCAAAAATGTTTTATTCAGAATTCCAAAATTACAAAAAGGCACCAGTACTCCACCAGACCAATCTATGTACCAAGTTTTGTGAAGAAATAGTGAACGGTTTTAGAGTTCAGCTCCGGAAAAGAGCACTACCACCAATTTCAGGCTAAGTCAAACTTGTTGCCACGGAAAAGCCAAAAATATTTTATTCAGAATTCCAAAACTACCAAAAGGCACCAGTACACCACCAGATCTATCTATGTGCCAAGTTTGGTGAAGAAATAGCGAACGGTTTTAGAGTTCTGCTCCGGAAAAGACAAATGTGCACGGAAGGACGGATGGACTGACGCACGGACTGAGTCCATTTTAATACCCCCCGCAAAACGCGTTTCGGGGGATAATAAGTTACAAGTACAATTAGTAACTAATATTGTAGTATATAAACAGAACATTGGTGAAGTAGCTTAATAAAAAGACTTCCAAGGATAAAACCTGCAAAACCAGAGCGGAACACAAGGCTGTGTTCACTGAATGCAACATGGTTAAATGGAACAATCAGATGCACAATATAAACATGAAGCAAATAAATAACGTGCAGACCAGGGAAAGGCACAATTACACTTCTCTTCAAATAAATAGTCACAAACCGTTTCTTGCAGAAACTATCAAAAAGGAAAAAACGACAAAAGAAAAACAAAGAAAAACGTGTTAAGTCGCAAGTTTAATCCCAGCAAAAAATCGCACAGCCTTTCAGGCTGGTGACAAGCAGTAATGTGAAGATACGTGATGTCAGCCCTTTCCAGGTCTCATTGGCGCAGTGCGATGGCAGTATGGTGGCTCGCTTAGTTGGAACAACTTCTCTTCGATGATTCCATCACACAGCTTCGTCTTGTCAAAGGAAAGCAGTAAATGCATTAAGGAGTAATGCAGGATAAATCAGAAATATGTGTACATTTTAGATAACTGGACAAATCAGTACACTAGGAAAATATCTGTGGCCATTTTTGTTCAATGCTCTGATGAAAAAATATATGAAGATCTTATCATACACTATACACTTATACACTACCATTTGGTGAGATTTCTGTCACTATTGCACAACTTAAAGAGATACTGTGCCATGCCACATGACAGTCACTGTCCCACAACATATACTACTCAAAAATAGTTAAGGAACACCTGATTCGTTAACATAGTTTAGTTAACCTGTCAGGCCAGTAATATGAATGAATCACACCCTTAACTTCCATTGAGTGGTATAGGTCAAACTACAAATAATAAACTAAAATCATAAACCAACTGCAATACCATGAATGAACCAAGCAGCAGATGCCATCTGTTGACAACACAAACTATAACAACCACCGACATAATGAGCATTGTGTAACTGAAAGCACTGGAAATCCATGATAAACCCGTTAAGTACGAATCACAGTCATGTCAAAATGTTTCACATAGAACCTGTTGCCATGGTTACAAGTAAAAGTCAATATTCAAAGAAAGAGGCACTTCACTACATTTAACATTGTAGATAAGTAGATTCCCATGTGGGGAATCGAACCTGGGCCTTCGGCATGTAAAGCAAAGTTAATGCTTAAAGCACTAGGCTACCCCACCGCCCTTCCTGGCTTGGAAGAAAGATAACTGTCTGTGTCTGTACACAAATATTTCTCCAAAATCACTGGTCGTTTGTGGAAATTTAAAACTTTTAAGATATTGTAGAACAAATAGTTTATGCTACACATTTATACACTGACCAGGTCAGCAGCATCACTGCACATACTTAGTGATTAAGTGATTAGAGTTGGTTGTAAAATATATTTGGCAATAATCCAGTAGGTGATACCGGGAATGAACATGCTCAACCCCAGCAGCAACGTATACCCAGATCTTCATCATGTAAACAGTCATTGCTACTCATTGACCCAGATTTCCATGAATCAGCTAGAGCTAATCTCAGTGTGAGAGAATCAAGTCATGCATCATGAATAGTGGAGGCCCAGTATCCTTCACACCAGACACTGGATAGTGGAGACCTGGTCACCTTCACACCAGACACTGGATAGTGGAGACCTGGTCACCTTTACACCAGACACTGGATAGTGGAGACCTGGTCACCTTTACACCAGACACTGGATAGTGGAGACCTGGTCACCTTTACACCAGACACTGGCAGTGGAGACCTGCAGTGGAGACCTGGTCACCTTTACACCAGACACTGGATAGTGGAGTACACCAGACACTGGGTAGTGGAGACCTGGTCACCTTTACACCAGACACTGGGTAGTGGAGAGTCACCTTACACCAGACACTGGATAGTGGAGACCTGTTCACCTTTACACCAGACACTGGATACCTGGTCACCTTTACACCAGACACTGGGTAGTGGAGACCTGGTCACCTTTACACCAGACACTGGGTAGTGGAGACCTGGTCACCTTTACACCAGACACTGGATAGTGGAGGGTCAGTATCCTTCACACCAGACACTGGATAGTGGAGACCTGGTCACCTTTACACCAGACACTGGATAGTGGAGACCTGGTCACCTTTACACCAGACACTGGATAGTGGAGGCCCAGTATCCTTTACACCAGACACTGGATAGTGGAGACCTGGTCACCTTTACACCAGACACTGGATAGTGGAGACCTGGTCACCTTTACACCAGACACTGGATAGTGGAGGCCCAGTATCCTTTACACCAGACACTGGATAGTGGAGACCTGGTCACCTTTACACCAGACACTGGATAGTGGAGACCTGGTCACCTTTACACCAGACACTGGATAGTGGAGGCCCAGTATCCTTTACACCAGACACTGGATAGTGGAGACCTGGTCACCTTTACACCAGACACTGGATAGTGGAGGCCCAGTATCCTTTACACCAGACACTGGATAGTGGAGACCTGGTCACCTTTACACCAGACACTGGATAGTGGAGACCTGGTCACCTTTACACCAGACACTGGATAGTGGAGACCCAGTCACCTTTACACCAGACACTGGATAGTGGAGACCTGGTCACCTTTACACCAGACACTGGATAGTGGAGACCTGGTCACCTTTACACCAGACACCAGTGGAGACCTGGTCACCTTTACACCAGACACTGGTAGTGGAGACCTGGTCACCTTTACACCAGACACTGTAGTGGTAGTGGAGACCTGGTTACCTTTACACCAGACACTGGATAGTGGAGACCTGGTCACCTTTACACCAGACACTGGATAGTGGAGACCTGGTCACCTTTACACCAGACACTTTCGGTAGTGGAGACCTGGTCACCTTTACACCAGACACTGGATAGTGGAGACCTGGTCACCTTTACACCAGACACTGGGTAGTGGAGACCTGGTCACCTTTACACCAGACACTGGGTAGTGGAGACCTGGTCACCTTTACACCAGACACTGGATAGTGGAGACCTGGTCACCTTTACACCAGACACTGGGTAGTGGAGACCTGGTCACCTTTACACCAGACACTGGGTAGTGGAGACCTGGTCATCACCTTTACACCAGACACTGGGTAGTGGAGACCTGGTCACCTTTACACCAGACACTGGATAGTGGAGACCTGGTCACCTTTACACCAGACACTGGATAGTGGAGACCTGGTCACCTTTACACCAGACACTGGATAGTGGAGACCTGGTCACCTTTACACCAGACACTGGATAGTGGAGACCTGGTCACCTTTACACCAGACACTGGGTAGTGGAGACCTGGTCACCTTTACACCAGACACTGGATAGTGGAGACCTGGTCACCTTTACACCAGACACTGGATAGTGGAGACCTGGTCACCTTTACACCAGACACTGGGTAGTGGAGACCTGGTCACCTTTACACCAGACACTGGGTAGTGGAGACCTGGTCACCTTTACACCAGACACTGGATAGTGGTGGAGACCTGGTCACCTTTACACCAGACACTGGATAGTGGAGACCTGGTCACCTTTACACCAGACACTGGGTAGTGGAGACCTGGTCACCTTTACACCAGACACTGGATAGTGGAGACCTGGTCACCTTTACACCAGACACTGGATAGTGGAGACCTGGTCACCTTTAAGCCAGACACTGGATAGTGGAGACCTGGTCACCTCTACACCAGACACTGGATAGTGGAGACCTGGTCACCTTTACACCAGACACTGGATAGTGGAGACCTGGTCACCTTTACACCAGACACTGGATAGTGGAGACCTGGTCACCTTTAAGCCAGACACTGGAAATCATGCAGAGAAACTGATAGGAAACATCCTATTAAAAATGTGATTAATTTAGATCCTGCATTGCACACGTCAGAATTAAGTACTCAACCATGTTAATGCCCTCGTAACATAACAAATAACATTGTGTCAACAAAATATGTTCCATCTGTCTACTGGTGAATTTCAACGCTACATGACCACATCATGTCATCACTATATAGCCATGTAGCAGCACTGACTCGGACATGATGCCCTGTGTGAATCAGAGAACAGTTCAACAGGTCATGCCAACCATCAAGGCTTAGCTGTGGCATCTACACCTAGGAGATTATATCCACTGTTACCATTACTAAGTTCAGGTAATTCATGGTACTACTGATTTTTTACTCATGCCCCATTTAAATCAAATGTACATGTAAAACAAATTTCTTCTCCAGACCAATATGGCAGCTGGATGTGAAACTGACATGAAGTCCATGAATAACCCAGCCAATATAATGTGAAATACACTCATTAACTTCCACAGTCAAGAACGACACTTAAAAAATACACCAATCATCAGGAAAAAAATCATCTTTTAAAGCTGAAATCCCCAAATTAACATTTTTAAAGAACGAATATTCATGAATTCTTTGAGTCAGAAACATGTGATGTTGTTTGTAGATCATACAATATGTCTACAAAAGATGGCAATGACAACACTGTACACATTTAACATTGGGCATAACAGTGTTGGTGTGTTTACAGCCCTGAACGCACAGGAACACCAGGCTGTCAGTCCATACACAGGAACACCAGGCTGTTAGTCCACACACAGGAACACCAGGCTGTCAGTCTACACACATCATGTATTCAACTAGGACATAGGCTGGTGTTATCTGAAGATTCGCTTCAGCTGGTACTGAAGAGACTTGGAGTTGGCCAGACCAATGGCCAGGAGGAGGAGCACATAGACAGACATCATCACCAGGAACTTGTTCTGCTGAAACCAGGTCATGTGACCTCTGCTCACACCCAGCCTGGAACAGAGTATCATCAGGATTTGGAACATGATTCAAAATGTGTCCGTCAAACATCAGACATCACATTTGATGTAGTAAATGCCTATGTCTCTTAAACTATTGACAGTTGAGGGTTTTAGTCAAACCATACACAAGAATCAATTATCAGAGATCGAGGAGAAGTTCAAATGTCCTTGAAACTAAAATGATTTCAGTACAACAATAGTTCCTGGGCAGTTGCCCACTCCACCACTCTAGTGTGTGTCCTGTAAAACTGTAATATGCATAGGAAGTGGGGAGTCTCATGGATGGTCAGGGTCAGGGTGCTTATTTGAGAAGGGTTTTCCTTCAGCCAACTACAGTATCTCAAATAGGTGACAGGGATGAGAAATCCTTATTGTAACAATTCCTCTCTGATGGTGAATGTGAGGCTGAGTAGAATATTGTTTGATCAGCAATCTAGAAGATGATGAGTCAATAACAAAGCATCAATGTTTCAGTGTAGATTCTTACACCATTTTCATCACCCTGTGCAATAAACAAGAAGTTGTTATCCATAAAGTTGTATGCTTTATTATTGTGTAGAATATAATACATAGATGAGTGTCAGGAGGCACTGCAAGTCACTGTGCAGAACACACCTCAGTCATTTCCGGACTTGCTTGTCATGTGATCCAGGATTGTTACTTCTGTGGTATCGTACCGCCTCCGTCGTGTAGTGGTTAGAGCGTCCGGCTCGAGAGCGGAAGGTCGCGGGTTCGATCCCCGACCGCGTCATACCAAAAGATGTTAAAATATGGTACTTGTTGGTCCCTGCCTGGCGCTCGGCATTAATGGGTACAACAAGGACTGGTCGGCTCGGAGTCAGTATAATGTGTCTGAGTGGGGTATTCATGCTTCACTGCGGCATGGTATCTCAGTGGGCTAGCACTATAAAACCAGCTTCAGTCTGGGCTAGTACAAGCAGCCGCACATACACATACACATGCATGCACGTCGTCATATGACCGCAATATTCTCAAGCACGATGTAAAACCCAATTTCACCTCACCTCACTTCTGTGGTATCAATATTCAGGTTTGCATCATGTTCTAGTGATAACATATGCTGCATCTTGAGGAATCAGACAGGTTCTAGAATGCGTGTTGAAGACCCTACCCTATTTTACCCTACCATTAGGTCAGTTGTGAGTGAAGGAGAGATAGAGATGTCGACATCAGAGACTCTCCCTTGTTTTACTCACTGTTTAGGTTTTGTCTTCTCGGCATACACTAGTAGGTAACGAACACGCATGACCTCATTGTTCCGGACCACGTAGTACTTCTCTGGAACATCCCCTGCCATGCTGCCAGCCACACGTGCTCGAGACTTCTTTACACCATCCTCAGATCCTGGTGGACAAGATTGATACACAGACATACAACTCTGTACATGCAAATACATGACAAGCAAGCGTCATAGGAAGATGACATATCCCCCCGGGCCCACATATTTGAAAGAACAAATCATCTGACAGCTACTTAAAGTCCAGCTTGATTTGTTTTTAGACTAGTCCGAATCATTTCCATGGAAATGATGAAAAATAAAATGACAAAAATCTGCAAATAGCAAAAGGCACCACTTCAAGATATGCCTCACATATCTGCCAAGTTTTGCTGAAAGACATTAAGATGTTTTCGAGTTGTGCTCCGGAAACGAAGCCCATCCCTCCCTTTTGAGACAAAGTCCGAATCGTTTCCATGGAAACCAAGAAAAATAAAAATGCCAAAAATCGGTAAATAGCAAAAGGCACCACATTAGGTCCTGTTTGATATATCTACAAAGTTTTGATGAAAGATATTGAACAATTTTCGAATAGTGTCCTGGAAACAAAACTCACCCCTCCCTTTTGAGACTAAGTCAGAATCGTTTCTATGGAAACCAAGAAAAATAAAAACGCCAAAAATCTGCAAATAGCAAAAGGCCCGATTTTAGCTTATGTTTGATATATCTACCAAGTCTTGGCGAAAGATATTGAAGGGTTTTCAAGTTGTGCTCCGGAAACGAAGGTCACCCTCATTTTGAGACAAGTTCAAATCGTTTCCATGGAAACCAAGAAAAATAAAAATGACAAAAATCTGTAAATAGCAAAAGGCACCACTTTAGGTTCTGTTTGATATATCTACCAATTTTTGTTGAAAAATATTGAACGTTTTTTTAGTTATGCTCCAGAAACAAAATGATATGACGGACGTACATGCCGGGGGAATAAAAATCATGTTATATACCTCTGATTTTCCAACATAGTATGTATTTTTTTTAAATCTTAGTAACGGGGTTATGGTAGAATGGAGATAAACATACTGTGTTGAAAAATCAGAGGTATATAACGAAATAATATTGGCTCTAATTTTTTTATTTAAAACCTCACGTTACGCGTTTGGTTTTAAATCAAATTTAGAGCTATTATAATTTTGTTATATACCTCTGATTTTCCAGCACAGTATGTTTGTCTCCTAAATGCCTAAACTGTGACTCAATATTGACTTCCAATTTCCCAAGTTGAACTTAATGATGAAGCAGCAGTTCACTGACTGGTATATGGAGCAGGTGTCAACAAACTTGAAGCCAGACAAGACAATGGCTGTAGATCTGAGGATATGTGTGATGAAGCCTATCAATGTACACTGGGTCATCTTGGCCTCTGTGTTGCATGTGTCTGGACTTGAAGTTCTCAGTGACGACTAGTCTGACACAAGTGAGTAGAGCTCTTGATGATAACAATGATAACTCACTGGATGTCCATTATGCAATTTCTAATGTTGGAATGATGTATTGTTACCAATATATGTTAAAACTGATGCTCAATAAACCAAGACATGGAATAGAGTTGATTATTTTTATATCGAAACTGGTATTTCGGCCTTCCTAAATCATGCCATCATGCTTACAGTCACTTTATATACATACTGCAAAGTTTCATTATTGCGAGCAATAACAGATTTAACTCATTCTTGCAATATTTTCAAGAATTTTTGGTACCAAATGTTAAAACAAGTTACATGTTGCTTAATCCTTACCATATAGGAAATATGTCTAGCTAACTAAACTCCATAAACATCTCTGAGGTGTAACAAAGATTATGATAAAGTACAATGGTGACTTCTCAAGTTACATGCTGAACTAAAGCATTAAAGAGAGATTAACAACAGTTGACATATAAGGTGCCTGGAATCATGGGGTGTATGGACACTGTGAAAGTAACAAACCTGTCTTCTCCTGACATTTGACACTGGAGTCGTCGATCATCTCACACACAGCTACACATCCCAGTTTGTCCCCCAGTTCGCTGCTGTCCCAGGTTAAGCCTGTAGGGCTGTAGGTCATTGACACTGCCAGTTCACCAGACAAGTATGTACCCTCACCGAACATTGACACCTGGAAAAGTGTCAGCATATATTGTATATCATCAGCTTAATGCCAGTGGTGAACCCTAACATACACAATGTCATTCACTGAGTAGTCATGACTTTGAAATGAAATCGGAAAATGACATCACAAACAGTGAGCGTTTAATATGCCAAGAAACAGGTTTCTTTTTTCAGAAATATCAATTCCACTTGACACTTGTAATTTAACATGAGTAAGGGCTGTTTTACTTCTATATATTAAAATATTTATGGCTTTTTTTGTCCAGTAATGTATACACACTTACTTTATTCATATGAGATGCTAGACCATTATGCAGAATAGAATGGAAGTTTTCTATACGACTTCCATGATAGGCAAAGAAAACTTTTCTGTTGTTGCGGACAAGTTGAAATTTGGCATCATTTGTTTCACTGGGTGTCACCTCAAAGATGAAGTTGGGAGATGGCACCTCTGTTGTGTGACCAGTCATTTTCTGGATCTCTGCAAACTGCAAGTGGGTAAGTGAGTATGCACATGTTTACACTGTTATTAGTTAGAGACACAAGAATTTGCTTCTGTCATTTATCATTATCAGTATGGTTAGGGGTGGAAGTAACCAGGGTGTTTCGTCGAAAGAACAAGAACTTATCTGACTTCCCATATGTTAACTTCGCCAGCACAGATATGGCGCTGAGTGATCAAATATCATTATCAAAGATTTTAACACAAAATCGCTGGATCATGGAAGTGGAAGTGGTACAGCTGTTATCCTAAAGGGTACAACAGCAATATAAATCAGAAAACTGTTTGTATGTACAATTGATTACATCATAATGCATAGCACCATAACTAATCACTGCAACAAACAGCTGGGTAAGTTTATTAAATGTTATATTAAACTTTCAAATTTAAAGTCATATTCTTTAACTCTCATGGGCATCCACAATTACTTTTGATCTCACATACTGGAAGTCCTTAAAGGACCTGGTTTTACAAACCCTCCAGCAGTAGTAACAGGCATATGACTGTGTCACAATGGTGTGCTGATGCCTCAGGTTATCTTTACAGCCTGCATGAAATGTGGCAATATATTTGATATAGTCATACAGTTGGTGCCTACCTGAGCCTTGTCAAGGGCTGTGAGGGTGAACGACTTTGAGTCTAACACCCAGTGAATCAAGTCAATGGTCTTGCTGGGAAGTGATGATAATGAGGAACCCACTCTCTGCACATTTGGAATATCACGCATTGCCCCTCCTACAAAAGTGAAGTAAGATGAACGAGCATGTCAGGGACACAACACCTTTATCAGTGCTAGTCTGTCTCACAGTCCCTGAACCACATTATTGTCCCTACTACCAAGCCCTCTCAGCGGTGCTAAAGCCCTAAATAAAGCAAGTCTAGATTTCCTCAGGTTCAGGATCTCTGGTCTCCCCTGGGGCTCCTTTTCAATTTAAATGGGCTTGTGTGTTACTATCAAAATTATATATATTCAGAGACTAAACGTTAGTCTATATCAGTGCATGCAACTCACTGTCTTCCAACACCAGTGAGCTTAGGGTAGTTTCTGTCTTAACTCCACCATATCAGCCTTAAGCTGGAAAGAGTGAAAATGTATGGATGTCAACTTCCCCTATATAAGGGATACACAGTTAAGTGGTTGTTGGTCTTAACACATATGCTCATGTACAGAACATACAGAAGTTCACATCCATAAATGCCATTCAAAGACCTTATCCACAAAAATGCCAAGGTGCTGGAAAACTACAACAAATGCAACAAACATAATGATCATAAAACAACAAGGTTTTTAGTCAGCAAAAATTATCAGTGGAGAGCTGTCCAGATAGTTATGACTATGACTGTGTGGACCTTGCTCTAAGTGTTTACATCAGCATGGATCCATCAAGATTGGAAAAATTCATAAAATTGACAACTTAAAGGGACACTGGTACAGCAATTCCTGTTTCACGCTAACAATCTTACTATGTCATGTAGCTGCCAGAAGGTCAGTACCTGTGGGCAGCAGTCCACCTTGGCATAATTTCTTCAACCTTGACATCAAGACAGTAAGATGCCATTATCAAAAACTATCCTTGGTAGTTATAGTCTCATTGTAATATAGTATCCCAGCAGTGTTAGCTTTTTCGGATTTTCTGATGCGTGGATTTTAATATTGGTATGATGACTGATCCAATTTGATCCCATTTCTGTGTTTTTATCTCGATATTAAGCATGTCATCTAACAATGTGATGTCTCTTGACCTATGATATTAAAAACACACATTTGATTTATCTGAAAACGCAAACTTCAAAATGTGTTCACTTGTTATCATGATAATTAAGATGGAAATATTATCAGAGACCATATAATAGATATTATATGGTCTCTGATATTATGAGTTAAAATGATAACATTTCAATTAATTTCAAGGCGAAGCTTTATTTCATTTTTGTATACACCCATATACTACCAATTGCGCTTGAATCGCAGAAATCGCAAACCAGTCAAGAATGCTGGGGTATCATCCGGGTAGTCTAGGGGTATAAACAGTATCAAAAGCAACAATTAACCAGTCCCGGGTAATTGCTCTGATCAGTGTCCCTTTAAACAGAGCGAACCAAAGTTTGTTAACATGCACATGCGATTAGTAACAAAAAATACGATAATAAAATTAATTTACGAGAGATTTTGTATCTTTTTCGTTGTCAGAGCTCATGAACATCGGAGGGAACGGTCGAAGGACGGTGTCAAATCGGTAACTGTTTGCTGCCGACGAAAACAAGCTCCATTGCACATCGACAGCAAGCGGGTCAAGTTTTATCCTTTCTCTTAAGAATTGTATTTTACTTGTCTGGCCATCGTCCATGATGATTTTAATTTGATAGCAAGCTTCAAAGGAGTCTTAACTCTAAACTCTATTTGACAGGCCCGACCCACTCATCTCCGAACGTAAGCAAGCAACAACTCAGAACTTTACTACGTTTACTTCCTTGAGAGTGCGCATGACAAGCGGATGTTTTGATCTATCAAGTTCCATACAGCGATGATGATCCACTATATAGTTAAGCTGGTTCCCGGCTCCCTTTGCGCGCCCTAACGTATATTGCGATATGCGAGACGGGGCCCAGCTTACTTTATAGTCCACATTGATAGCACGCACTGTGACTGAGCGCAGGGTAAGTGTATGCTCCTCACAACATATTCCAGTAATGTGTTTAGAGTGTACTGCTTCCCTTGGTCTTCGTTCCATGTTCATGCCCATCCGTTCGTTACTGATACATAAATCAGTGTAGTAAATCAACACTGTACGTATTATCTAGGTACTTACTGAAGACAATACGCACGCGCGTACTTGATCTAATTCTATACCCTTTGAATTAATCAAATAAATATAGCAAACTTTTCTTCTGTATATTTTTCAAGTGGATGTTCGGAGTGGGCCTTTGGACATTTGTCTGTCTGTGGCCCTTTCTACAGAGCACAATAAAAGCAAGAGGAATCATGTTCTCCAGGTGCTCTTGGGTGTAGGAGTCACAGGATAGTAAGGTTTGTACTCAACTGAAGTTATTGCGTAAACAATGCAAGTCCGAGGCATATTCATAGATATAAACAATGGCGCTTTTTGTTAAATATACCGTCTCCTGTCATGACATCCAACAAATCACATTCCAAGACAGGAAAGAGTCGACCTTTTTTACTGCACACTTTTCGTTAGAATCGACTAGTTATATATTGATATATTCTGTGACTTGAAAGAGTGCGTGGATCCTTCTTCGGTACTTTAAGGTGGATCATTGCTCCTGCTATCAGTCCCATGTTTGGCAACAGATCTACATGTCGTCGTGAACTGGGTGCAATATTGCTGTGTGTAGCGTTGCAAATCATTATGTGACAGTGTCAAGAGAAACCAGCCTCCTGACAGATCATCTTATTAAGACACCGGGGAAGTTCCAACACCATGATATAGTTGGTGAGGTGAGGTGAAATTGGGTTTAACATAGCGCTGGAGAATATTTCGCTCATATGACGACGTGCATGCGCGTGTATGTGTAGGTGCAGCTTCTTGTACTAGCCCAGACTGAAGCTGGTTTTATAGTGCTAGCCCACTGAGATATCAAGCCGCAGTGAAGCATGAATACCCCACTCAGACACACTATACTGACTCGAGCCGACCAGTCCTTGTTGTACCCAATAATGCCGAGCGCCAGGCAGAGACCAACAAGTACCATATGTTAACGTATTTTGGTATGACGCGGTCGGGGATCGAACCCGCGACCTTCCGCTCTCCGGGCGGACGCTCTAACCACTCGACCACGGAGGCGGTCTGATATAGTTGGTATAGCTACCCAAACAAGTAAACACTATCGACTATATACTCCACCCCAGTGGTCTTTTCAGATCAAGTGGACCTTTTTAAACGCGCAGTGACATTTTGATTTTTAATATTATTCCAAACATAAATAAAGAACACAATAAAGCAATCACCTTAATTCATTTCTAGTTAACAGACAACAAGTTGTTCAGGTTGATAATGTGAAATCATCAATTGTAAACACATCAACTGGCGCTCCACAAGGTTGCGTTATTTCACCAATTTTCTTTATATTGTACACCAACGCAGAAACATGTTTTACAGTTAAATTCGCTGATGATGCTGCGTTGGTAGGCCTTGTTAGGGAATCAGAACCTAGTTACAGAGCTGAAATAGCAAAATTTGTAGAATGGTGTAAATCAAACTTTTTATTTTTGAATGTGCAAAAAACAAAGAAATTATCATATATTTTAGAAAAGCTAAATCAACAATAAATGCTGTAAGTATTGAAGATAATGAAATAGAAAGAGTGAATACAAATATTTGGGTACTGTCTTAGATTCAAAACTCTCCTGGAACGAAAACACTGAGAAAATATATAAGAAAGGACAACGGAGCTTGCATTTTTGGTGGAAGTTGAAACTATAATGATATTATTGTAGAAAACCTTTATTCAAAGTGTCATAACTGTAGTTCGAAGAATCAGTTTCTTTCATGTCTCTCTCTCTCTCAAGTTCATATTCATATTGAAAGGTCAATAGTTGTATTTCAAAGAATCGCTTTTATTCTTTTCTCCCAGGTTCATCATAATCATATTGAAACGTCAATATTTGGATTTGAAAGCAGATTCGGGTCAATTCAGTGCAAGTGTCCTTGCTATAGATTGACTGCAATAATGAAATAAGGGAATCTGTAGTTCCATATAATGTTGTCGTCATATGAGCGAAATATTCTCAAGCACGACGTTAAACCCAATTTCACCTCACCTCCATATAATGTTATCAGTATCGCAACATTAACATTCTCAACTTCATCAATAAAGATACACTTTTGACAAAGTTTTACATTTCTAACCACCTGCAGTGATGAATAATGTTACAGTCAATTTACATGACTACTATTTCAGTAAATAACCCTTACCATATGTCAAATTAATGATTTTGAAAGCTCTAACAAACGAAAACCTGAGAAAATCTATTTTTAATTTCTTGAGTTGGTTCGGGAACCTGTCTGTCCAGAATAAAAGCAAACTCTCAAAAATCGTAACCACTGCGTCTAAAATTATTGGGCTTCCTATCGAGAGTATCGGCAGTTGTTATGAGCAGCAAATTTCTAAAAAGGCAAACAAAATTTTAAGTGATCCTACTCACATACTTTTTTCGGAATATTCATCATTACATTCTGGACGCAGGCTGCGTATGCCGACTTTTAGAACAAACAGGGTTCGCCACTCATTTGTTCCAGCTAGTATTAGATGTATTAACAACAAATTCAATGAATAACTTGTCTTCCAACTGTCCAAATTCTAGTCAATATCAATGTTTGTGTACTAAATTTATGTGTATATATCTTGATTATTTTAAACAATAGTTTTATGTTTAGCACTTGCAATGTTATATATGGCTGCCTTATGAAAGAAAAACTGGAGAACTGCATATGATGCAAAACAAATTTTCCTTGGGGATAATAAAGAAATCATCTTATTTATCTTCTATCTTTTACCTCCGTTTTCCCAGGGGCGGTAGGGTAGCCTAGTGGTTAAAGCGTTGGCTCGTCACGCCGAAGGCCCGGGTTCGATTCCCCACATGGGCACAATGTGTTAAGCCCATTTCTGGTGTCCCCCGCCGTGATATTGCTGGAATATTGCTAAAAGCGGCGTAAAACTAAACTCAGTCAGTCAGTCCGTTTTCCCAGTATTTATGGCGATAATAACCACTGTGAAATGTTGTTCAACTAGCAGTACGTATCGCAAGGTCACCATAAACTCCAAAACAGCGCGTCATTTCTTCTTGAAACTGTGTTTCTACCGTAACATCACTGCAAGGAGCTTTACTCTACACGCGAAAGGAAGTTAAAATGGCAGAGGGCAGTCCACGTGGTCCTAATATTTTGATTACAGGTTGTTTATTCGTGGCAGTTACGCTTATATGTACAAGGCATGATAATGAGATTCATAATATGGTATATCACACACAATCATTATAATTTCAGCATACGTATTAGTGTTTAGCTGAAGTTCAAACTGACCCACAATCTGTTGGTCATTTGGTGGCAGGTATTTTGCTAGGTGTTTGATAATATAATTGTATATAAGGGTGTCTTCTACTCCGCATTATAACAAGGCCATGTTACGATAAGCCCGTCCCGTCAACAAAACAACAACAACACACAAACTATTAATGTTCAAGGACCAGAGTACTGTGAATTTGTCAAACACTGATCTCTCGTTTGGAAACAACAAACAAAAACAAACCCTGAGTGCAGCATTGAAAACGGCGTGCGCCTTAAATCCGGTGTTACTTCCTGACCTCCAACTAATACTCAGTCTTGTTATAGTGGTATGACCTGAATAAATGAATACATGATATAACTAATCTTGTCAGGACTCTGACACATAATTTCATATACTGTAATATTATCATTATGATTAGGTATTAGGTAGTGATGGGTTGTAGACAAAAGGGCCGAAAAATAAAGTAAAAAAGGCAGAGGCTAAAAGTCAAATGGGCCGAAATGAAAAGTAAAAAAGGGCGAAAAATAAAAATTTTAATAAATTACATAGTAAAATAGTATAAATAGTGTTTAGTTTGTTGTTGTTTTTAGTTTAAATGGAATTTGAACATGAGACACAAATGTTTTCATTGTGAAGTGTCTTGACTAATGACCAGTCTGAAATCTTTGCTGCTTGGTGGCTGTACAAAGAGGGACAGCTCAGCCCAACTGCGCCTCTGACAATGTGTTCCAGAGTGTATGCCCCAAGTGTGTTTGAATGAACTTGTGTGAATTATGAGCGAATGAACAGTGTGTAAATTATGAACTTGTGTACATTATGAATGAATGAACTTGTGTAAATTATGAACGAATGAACTTGTGTAAATTACCATTATATTATTTTTGTTAATTATGTGAACTTGTGTTAATTAAGTAAATTGTTAACTATATGTATTGCCATTACATAAAAACTTGGCTACATGCTTGGCTATTACCATGTTATTACCATTTTATTAATGTTATGATGATATTATGTTTCCATGCTATATGTGTCAATAGATAATGTATAACTTTTCTAAACTTTTTTTCTGTTAGGCCCATATGACTAGGAATAAGGCCCATTTGACTTTTTCCATCGTCCTTTTTGACTTCGCCCTTTTGGGTCCTTTTGTCCTTCGGTTTCCATTTGACTAGTTCCGGGTAGTGATATGCTAAAAGTCCTTGACAATTCGGACTCACCCTAAAAAAAATAGAGGTTACACCTTTGTTTTGATATTATTTTTCAATTACAGAGGACAGTGTGACACACAGTATTGTTAAAACCTAGGAAATAATCTCCTGATGATGAGGCATTGTTTATGCTGGTCAGAAGTTTATTTAAAAGTCTGTCATGCCCTGAAAATATCTGTATATTGTGTAAAAGTTTTACTTAAAATTCAGAGAGATGTGTTTGTGTGTACAGGCACTCCAGGGACAGGCAAGACTACCCTGGGGTCCGAGGTGTCACAGAGGGTGGGCTTCAACTACATCAATGTTGGCGATGTTGCGAAGCAGCATGACCTGTACGATGGTTGGGATGACAAGTATCAGTGCCCAGTCTTGGATGAGGACAGGGTCTGTACAATGTTCAGCTTCAGCATTTTTGTGATGTTCCAACCATTTTCATACATTATTGTTTATTAATGCTTGTGAAAAAGTACAACGTTCATGGCATTTGTATTAATACGTCACCTCTAACTTTTCCATAATATTTCACACCATTCAAGTTACTGTTGGACGACGGCCCACCAGGATGTCATCTTGTAGGTGTAATACTCGAGACAAACATATTGAGTCAATGAGTGTCCTGTCATGATGGGAAGCCTTGTGGTTAAACTCAAAAGGCAGTGGCTGGAGTTTCCATAGATATTGTTTAAGTAACCCTTTAAGAACAATGTTTGGAGAGTTGTTGGTATCATTGTCCAAGATGTTGCGAGAATACTGCTGTATAATTTCAAAGGAAATATCCTCTCCATGACTGCTGACAATAGTCCTGGCTGTAGATACAGATCATAGAGATTGCTAGACGTTAGCTAAATATGGTTAAATATTGGAGACATAACTTTGATATGAAAAATGCCAAAAAGTCTTTAAGAAATCGACATATTTCACATCACTGGAGAGTAGTGACATTTATTCATAAATAACTGTCATGATATGGCTGAAATACAGCCGATGTGACTTAAAATTTTAACTCACTCACTCATACATAACTAGCAAGACAGCACCTGAACATAAGGCCTAAAAAAAATGTTGTGGTTCCGATTACCCGACCCGACCCTTGAATTCTGGTGCTGACCCTAGTTTTTTAAGAGGTATGAAGGAAATAAGCTTTCAGATACCATTGTGTTTTCCTGGCACCAACGGACATTGGTCATTCTTATAAAGAAAGTCGACATGATGGCCGCAAGCTTGATTGAATAAACAATTACACATTGATAAATGTGTTCTTACTTTACTTCTAAAACAAATGTAAAAAAAAAAAAATATTCCTACCTACCTACCTACCTACCCTGTGTTCCCGGTGGTTTTGAAAATTACCGGCGGCTTATGCCGACGGGGTCTGAAAATTCCGGCTGAACTAGTTTTTATCCGGAGAGACAAATTAATCAGTAATCGCAACGATATACTGTAAATAAATGTGTTGAAAAGTCTGCCGTACGAGTTGCTTGTTTTTCGAGAATGCTCATTAGACCTACAGCGTCCTGACAAAAGTATTCGCGATTTGGCATATATAGCCGTTCGTCTCGTATTTTGTCACAATCAGAAAATGAAAGCGGTCCAACTAAATTCGATAAATGTGTTCAGAATGTCATTCGCTATCTAAATGACTATGAAATGTGCAAATAATTAGTGTTTATATACCTGTGGTGAATTTCAACCCCGCATTTCACGAGTTGAAAACAAAGATTCTCGGACACATGCTTCGGCAGCGGGTCCACAATAACATTGTCAAAGAGCAAAGTAACGATGTTTCGAGGAATTCATTAAATAAATTGAATAAACTAATGAATAAAATCAACAACATTCATAAAAGTTGAACATATAAAATTACTATTTTCCATGTTTTTGTGCGATCATGTAATGTAAGTCAAGTCACTGACAACTGACATCTCGGCTCTCGCCGCCTCAATCTTCACGCTCGGACACGATGTTTAATGCGAAAATATATACATGAAGCATTTTTGTCACAGGTCATAACCTAGCACGATACGTCCAAAAAGTTCCATAATTTACGTATAGGTAGCGATTTCTTGCTTAATATGTTCAGAATAGCATTATTTTACCCAAAACTTCTGTCTAAATCTAAAAGTTTTCGTTTACGAGGACGGAATCCATTGCTGTAATATGATTGGCTGCTTTAGGTCACGTGTCAGATTTTGACCAATTACGACCCTTATAGCAGACTGTGGCGAAAAAGCGTCATTAGAAACCAATCTTTATCCAATAAAATCGCTTCTTACAACTGTGAAAAAACTATAGAGTCTATATTTAGATGTGGGATTGCCACCCTAGTTTTCAATATACGTTTGCATAATGATCTTAAGAAAACAAAGAATAAACAAAGATGTTATCTGCAAGTTTATTAAATCTGCCGATAAACGGCATCTTTAAGCAATACAAAATTTACCGGCGGCAGCTACCGACGGCAGTTGAAAATACCGGATCTTCACAATTTTTATCGGTAAAAATCCGGTAATTACCGGAGAACGGGAACACTTGATATTGTCTTTGTACTGCGGACAAACAACAATGAACTGTACGAAAGACTGGAAAAAAGGTTTGTGAAATGATGTAAATAATTATACAAATTATCCAAAACATTGCTACTACTACTACTTGTAAGCAAGAGCCGTGAGCTGAATGCCCTCGTAGGAGTTTCTTCCCTTTGACCAAGCAGAGAGTAATGAAAGATGATAGTATCTTCACCAAATCTACTATGACTAGTTTGGTATGCCATGCATTGGCACAGGTGGCACAGTTGTCTAAGGTGCTGTTAGAAATCTGTCATCAATGGGTTGAATCCCAATCCACAGGTGGCCCAGTTGTCTAAGGTGCTGTTAGAAATCTATCATCAGGGGGTTGAATCCCAATCCACAGGTGGCCCAGTTGTCTAAGGTGCTATTAGAAATCTGTCATCAAGGGGTTGAATCCCAATCCACAGGTGGCCCAGTTGTCTAAGGTGCTGTTAGAAATCTGTCATCAAGGGGTTGAATCCCAATCCACAGGTGGCCCAGTTGTCTAAGGTGCTGTTAGAAATCTGTCATCAAGGGGTTGAATCCCAATCCACAGGTGGCCCAGTTGTCTAAGGTGCTGTTAGAAATCTGTCATCAAGGGGTTGAATCCCAATCCACAGGTGGCCCAGTTGTCTAAGGTGCTGTTAGAAATCTGTCATCAAGGGGTTGAATCCCAATCCACAGGTGGCCCAGTTGTCTAAGGTGCTGTTAGAAATCTATCATCAAGGGGTTGAATCCCAATCCACAGGTGGCCCAGTTGTCTAAGGTGCTGTTAGAAATCTATCATCAAGGGGTTGAATCCCAATCCACAGGTGGCCCAGTTGTCTAAGGTGCTGTTAGAAATCTGTCATCAAGGGGTTGGATCCCAATCCACAGGTGGTCCAGTTGTTTAAGGTGCTGTTAGAAATCTATCATCAAGGGGTTGAAGTGACTGAAGTGGTACATATATGAGACGTGCATCACACCCCTTGGGTTGGACTGAAGTGGTACATATATGAGACCTGCATCACACCTCTTGGGTTGGACTGAAGTGGTACATATATGAGACCTGCATCACACCTCTTGGGTTGGACTGAAGTGGTACATATATGAGACCTGCATCACACCCCTTGGGTTGGACTGAAGTGGTACATATATGAGACCTGCATCACACCCTTGGGTTGGACTGAAGTGGTACATATATGAGACCTGCATCACACCTCTTGGGTTGGACTGAAGTGGTACATATATGAGACCTGCATCACACCTCTTGGGTTGGACTGAAGTGGTACATACATGAGACCTGCATCACTTTGTGCTTTCATCCCATATTAAGGTGACACTGTGCTATGACTGGAATGGTGTTCAAAGCGGAGTTCAACCCTGATCACTCACAAACATGCATGACCCGTGAAGATCCGGGGTAGAATAGGCCTTCAGCAACCCATGCTTGCCACAAAAGGCGACTATGCTTGTCGTAAGAGGCGACTAACAGGATCGGGTGGTCAGGCTCGCTGACTTGGTTGACACATGTCATCGGTTCCCATTTGCGCAGATCGATGCTCATGCTGTTGATCACTGGATTGTCTGGTCCAGACTCGATTATTTATAGACCGACGCCATATAGCTGGAATATTGCTGAGTGCGGCGTAAAACTAAACTCACTCACTCACAAACATGCATCATGATTTTGTGATTTTATTGTGGTTAGTGAGATGAGATGATTTCAAAATGTTTTCATGTTCTCACTATATCAACAATGTAGTATGAAGGCTTCTTAGGTTATTCTAGTTCTAAATTACAATACATTTTCAGTAAGTTATACCTTTCAGTACCATATTGAGGTTTTAACATTTCTAAGGGAGCAATCAATTTTTTTCCCTTGAATATACAAGTTGCCCAATGCTTGTTGTACAATAAAATCCTTCATGGTGTTGTACAAGTGAGTGGACCTGTAATACAAGCATTGTACTGGTGGAGGAAAGATTGTCCTGGTGCAGCTTCTGTGGATTTTGTTAATTTTAAAATTGTTGTTTTTCAGAGGTTACAGTGGAAAGAAGTTGGAAGAAAATATTCAGTGTGAAATTTTTCAAACCATTTTGGATGAGGCTCGTGAAGCCTACAAACCACAGATAGTTCATGAGCTGCCTAGCAACACTCCTGACGAAATGGAAGATAATCTGGATAAGATACTGGCATGGATTGAACAGTGGACAATTTCCCACTAGCACATGAGGAGGCTGGCTGAGAGCTGGCCATGATTTGTCAAATGTGCTGCAAATATCTCCACAGACTCTTCTAGTCTGTCTGAAAAGCAACATCCTTAATGGGACATGTAACTCGTGTTGTTTGTCGGTCTACACTCAGGACCAGGAACAGAGTAGTGATTGTCCATCATGGGCTCACAGTTTCAGCCCTCGGTTTTCACATCTCACAAGGGCGTATACAAATGTGACTATTAGGTGGACATGTAATTTAAATTAAGGAAGTGATGTGTGCTGAATTTATGGCAGTTGCCATGATGGTGTTGAAGTAATGTTGTTTCACCTGACAGTATAAACTCAGTGTGCAGTGTGAACTCAATCACTGTATGGAAGATGTTGCTAGTTCCTCTTGCTTTCTGCCTGCGGCGAGAGGAAACTTGTGGATAACTCTGTTTCTAAAATGCTGCTTTGACCAGGAGAGACAATTAATAGGTGTTAGCATGGTTAGTGTGGCCAAAATGTCTGATGTTACTTGCAGATGCAAAAACTAGGGGTTTGTGTGGTCAAAATGCCTTGTTTGAGTGACAGAGACAATAGGTGATAGGGTGGTCAAGGTGCCTTGTTTGACTGACAGAGACAATAGGTGATAGGGTGGTCAAGATGCCTTGTTTGACTGACAGACAAGAGTAGGTGATAGGGTGGTCAAGATGCCTTGTTTGACTGACAGAGACAGTAGGTGATAGGGTGGTCAAGATGCCTTGTTTGACTGACAGAGACAATAGGTGATAGGGTGGTCAAGATGCCTTGTTTGACTGACAGAGACAATAGGTGATAGGGGGTCAATGATCAATATGTTATGTTTACTGAGCATGGTCGTTTCTTTTCACGCCTCTGTGTCAGAGTGAAGTGTTCAAACTGCAGGTTACCCCAGGGTACAAGTATGGAGGAGTTTGTATTAACGGTAATCATTTAAAGACTGCCAGTATAAAACTGTAATTGTAACTATCATTATATGAACACATGAAGGTCAGACTGGCGGAAGGTGTTGAAGCTGGTGTGACTGTTATAACAACTAGAGAAGCAGGGGGAATATGAACAAATGATAAGAGTGTGGTGTATAACGCCATGATTCTTTCCTTTATAGAATTCTACATGTTCAAGTATGATCCTCCTGTACGTGTCCAGGCCAACGTTAGGACAGGTTTAATGTTTGATCATTTAAGCATTTGATTCAGAACGAAAACCAGAAGTTGTGTTCTGAAGCGTGCAAGGACTTTAAATGTCATATTTTAAGGTTATTAAACTCTTTGAAATTGTTTTGAAAATTTTGAGACAAGTTAGATTATTTGACAACTATTTTTGTTCTGTCCCTCATTTTCATGTCTTGGGCTTGTTGCATTATCACGTACCCCAGATCACGTACACACAGACGTTTAGGTACACTGTACATACAGGTGTCTACATGGCCATACATGATTGATATAACACAGACGTTTAGGTACACTGTACATACAGGTGTCTACATGGCCATACATGATTGATATAACACAGACGTTAGGGTACACTGTACATACAGGTGTCTACATGGCCATACATGATTGATATAACACAGACGTTTAGGTACACTGTACATACAGGTGTCTACATGGCCATACATGATTGATATAACACAGACGTTAGGTACACTGTACATACAGGTGTCTACATGGCCATACATGATTGATATAACACAGACGTTAGGTACACTGTACATACAGGTGTCTACATGGCCATACATGATTGATATAACACAGACGTTAGGTACACTGTACATACAGGTGTCTACATGGCCATACATGATTGATATAACACAGACGTTAGGTACACTGTACATACAGGTGTCTACATGGCCATACATGATTGATATAACACAGACGTTTAGGTACACTGTACATACAGGTGTCTACATGGCCATACATGATTGATATAACACAGACGTTAGGTACACTGTACATACAGGTGTCTACATGGCCATACATGATTGATATAACACAGACGTTAGGTACACTGTACATACAGGTGTCTACATGGCCATACATGATTGATATAACACAGACGTTAGGTACACTGTACATACAGGTGTCTACATGGCCATACATGATTGATATAGTAGTCCTGAAATCTCAAGATATCAACCCTGTGACACATTAGCTTTTTCTGGACATTTATTGAAATGAATATGTAAAATATGGTATTAATCTTAAGAAATGTTACTTCCTCTCATGATCATTTCAGGGTCATTTCTGTAATTATCAGTCCATATGTTTTGTCAGTACCTTGACTTCAGTCATATTGGTTTTCCCCTGCTAAGATCTTTCTGGAAGTCAATTTTGGTTTGTTGAGGGAGTTGTTGATTTGTGATAAAATGTTTATATTAATGAATAAATAGGATAAAAGTGTGTATTCCATGCCTTTATTGGGAGCTGTTCGGTGGATTAGTGACACTCTGTAGATTGGTTGCTGAAAGGTTGGCTTGTCAGCTGGAATATTGCTAAATGGTGCCATAAGCTATAACCGCACACTAGAAACCTAACTATGGGACGAAAATGAAAGGAGCAGGTAAACAGACAAGTGTTGTGGGTTTTAACATATTTAAATAAGCAGAATTTCTGCCCTTTTCTTGATCAGTGAGGTACCTTATCCACTCAAGCACATATACGTATGCGCAGTAATTAAACACCACCTGAATCCAAGGACGATTTTTGTAAAAGTTGCCCCAAACAATTTAAAATCGCGTGCTGCGCACAATATCTCACAAGGTGCGTTCACGTTCTGCGAAGGCGACAAGCACATCTGAGTAGAAAAAGCTGAAGGGTCACAACATATTTCTGAACTTATTTAAAGATTGATATCACGGCAAGACATAGACTGTCAGAAAATACACGATTGCAAGTTATGGTTTGCATGACGCACGAATGACCTGTGGCAACATCGGTGATAACTTATATCATGCGCGGATCCAGAAGGGGGGTGCGGGGGTGCCGGGGTGCGCACCCCCAAGAGTGTTCCAAATGTACTACATGTTTTATGCCCAGGGTTCCGAGGATTGGGGTGCACCCCCCCAAACGAAAATCCTGTTTCCGCCCCTGTATATATACGGTTATATGTGGACTCGTGGGGGAGCACATAGGCCCCGGTGAAGTAGAGGATCTTCCAAGACCTGGGCCCCGTTTCACAAAGTTATCGTCAGAAGGAATACACTTCGCTTACCATTTCATGTATAGTGTAATAAAACGACACTTTGCCCTGAACTATTATAGTTAAAGCACGAGGACCCTTTGCGTCCGAGTGCTTTAACGTTATAATAGTTCAGGGCGAAAGTGTGTTTTATTACACTATACATGGTGGTAGGGCGAACTGTATTTCTTTTCTAAGATGCCAAATTTAATACTTTCTAAGGATAATTACGATTAATTTAAGGCAGAAAACAAACGACGGTGTCTGTGACCTAAATTAAGAATCCTCGCACAGGGCTTACTGGCGCGCTGTTCTATTGATGTGTCTTCCCCCTACGTTAAGACGAACGTTACCAGAAAAAACCAAATGATAACAGTTTGATGACGGTTTACGTTCGGATTAAATATCTTCTCTGAATTATTTTAAATATATCTGTTATTAACATAAACCATACGGGGCAATATGAACGTTGCATTTCTACTACCAACGTAAGTTTAGATCAGTACATCCAGAGGAAGTTGAGTAGTCAAGCGACATTCCACGATTGCATTGTGGGAATGTAAACATTGCGAACGTTACCGTGTCGCTGAAAACTTGTGAGTCGAAATGACACATTTTAACCGTCGTAAAACGTAATGTTTCCACCAGTGATATTAGCTGGGTGAAGCAACCGCAAACCAAGAAACGGGATGCAACGGAGTAGTTTACTGTAGGAGGCCGGACGAGGCGATGACAACTGACATGCATCGTGACGTTGCTTTCATTGTGACGTAATGTAAAATGGTTCGATTACGAGGGGGCACACTAGAATGGCGCAGTGACGGGATAACGTCATTCAATTGTTACGTCATCAAAAAACTATACCTTTATTGTCTGATAATGTATTTTTTTTTTCGATTGTTCTAACCGCTAGGCATCTTAGAATTCTTAATAAATCCCAGTCGCAAGACTCTGTGAACATTATAAGAATAAATTTCATGAAGTATTTTCAGCTATATTTTTAGATATTTCTTAGCTATTTTAGTAAGGCAAAACAAACTCGATCCGTTCATACATTTTTCAAGGATGTTTTGATTTTTACATTAAAAAGTATTGGTGCCGAGAATGATCGTTTTCTGGGCTTGAGGTTTCACGAATATTATTTTTCGTTTAGGGATATTGTCGATCCTTCCGTGATACACAAAACGTATCCCCATGAAATGTCAAGACAATATTTAGGTAAATAATGATGCATATCTGATTACCCCTATCATAATTTGAGAAGTATATTGTGTGACCTGTGGAGAAAACTGTCAAATGTAAGAGGACGTCTAGGACAATGGATGACGTCAGATTCTTGATACGTCATGTCGTTTAGTAAATATGCAAATGATAGAAACTTATCACACTGGATGTATTTCAACCATATTGTACGTCATTATTAAAGACACACCCGTGAAGATTGCAAATTATCTGAGCGACCGCTCAGGACAATTACAGATTTTAGGTAAAACATCCCTGCCCACGAATATCATGTGACAGGTCCCCAACTATGTATTGATACTGATACATATTCCCAGCATGACGATGTACATCACTGAAAACATGTGTATGTGTATTTTCTGTTGCCCAGACTCGATTATTTACAGACCGCCGCCATATAGGTGGAATATTGCTGGGTGCGGCGTAAAACTTAACTCGTTCACTTGTGTGTTGCTGCTTCGGTAGAGTTACATGTACTGGGAACTCTTGTAAGTGTTAGAAAGAAGTCCGTAAGTAGATGAAGACTGATGTTTTGGGCAATAGTTTGACATGCAGGCACACAACAGGTTGTACAGGACGGACCAGACTTGTCGTGGACAAACGAAACAAATCTGTATGACATGAGTATACACTCAAATGTGTTTGGAGATGTACCGAATTATGTGACTAGGAAAACGCGCGGAATATTTACTCTTTTGACTGCCGTTTTGTCAAGATCATGAAGTCAACGAAATGGGATTCAGGTTCGGGCTTTTGAATGATGATGATGTCACTATAATAATAACGCACCTGTATGATCCCTAGTGTTGCTCTAGTTTCTCGGTGGCACTTACAGAAACACAGGGGTAAAGGAGAAACCTTGACAAGCCTGTGTAAAGTCAATGAGTTAAAGCTGACGTCAGAAGGAATTCCTACTGTCTGATTGCAGTTAGTTTCTGTTATTATTTCCGTTATGTCAAGGCGAGTAAACGCGACATTGCAGTCAAAGATGAGTAAAGGACTCGAACCCCGGACTTTTATTAACAATTATTAGTACATCTATAGGAAGCAACTGACAGGTCAATGTTGAGGACTACACTAAGTTACCCATAGCATGTTCCCTGAAACTACTTCGGTCCACTGATAACAAAACACAAATTAAAATAATTACAAATATTTATTCATTCATAAAATGAGCAAAAACAGATGCAATTCACTCAATCAAACATTCGAAAGACTTCGCATGTACACAAGGGCATGGGAACTGTTACAGAGGTGACTAGATGGCACTCGTGGTGCGTGGAGACTCCGGGCACCGCCACGCACAGCTTCGTACACAGAACACGTGACAGGATGAAACATGACACTGTATGGAAAACGTCCGTTAGGTATTAGGCAGCAATTAACAACAGTGACAATTTCACGTACGTTTAAACCTGTCGAAGAAGGTAGTAGGCTGTTTGTCAAAATCAAGCGATATTTTAGGTCACCATATTGATCCCGTTAACAATTGCTCTTTGGGGGCTTCGATAAATGTGTGATCAAGAGGTTTGCGGTGAACTTTCAAAAATGAGACAGAAACAAAATGGTTGACGATCATGAAGATCGCCAATCAATCAGGAGACAGATGCCATGATGGCAGTTAGAAGGGTCCCTTCCCGTTACAGTCGACAGCGGAATGCCATTCGCACTTCCTTGCGGCTGGAGAGAAGGAGGTACCATGAGGGCACTGGATTCTCTGTGTGCGGCGACCGTGCTGGCACAGGATGAAGTGTCTGCAACTCTCGGGGTCGGGGACCTGGCCGTCGTGGGCACACAGGGGATCCTCCTCTCCTGAAATTACATGTCAGTATTTGTTAGCCCTTTTCACAAAACCATAATATGTCTCACGCATCCCAATCAGCTGCATATAGAAAGATAGAGACTTTATGCTTGAGTTTTACCTCTTGTCTAGCTTTATGGTCTCAGTGTCGCCTCTACTTTGTGAAACTTAGACCTCTGTATGCCATTTGGATATACATATATATTTGTGTCAGATATCAGACTGGTCGGTTTGAAGACCAGTGTCCGTTTTCACGAAGCGATCTTCGATAAGCCTATGTTACAGTGTTGAAGTAACTATGACCTTTGTACTAACGCGCCTTCAGGAATGGGACTCGGTACGAAAGTTGCCAGACTTAAACTGTTGTCCAACTAAATCACAATTTCATAAATGATCCTGTTCTTAATTTCGCACAGCAACAAGTCCATTAGTTACCCAATTTGGGGATCGGACAAAAAGGACTGAGAGACGGCTATGACTGTACTGATATACAATATACAACATCTGCGGTGTACAAGTTGTCCTTCATTTCTACTATAGCTACCTTTATCAACAAGCTTTGGTCTTCAACCATACACATTGCTAGACCTATTATGCCATCTATGGTATGATTAAGGAGACTTACTGATGACGATGGTCTCAGGTACTTTCCTTGGTCCGCATTCATTCACGACGTTGTGGGCAAACTCGCATGTGTTGTTCCTAGGCAAGTAAAGCGTGCCATCACCGCAACGCTGGATAGCGATCAAAGTGCCGTTTGCGCATGACACAAACTTGGAGCAGTCCTCGGGGTCGGGGTTGTTGCCGGTCTGTTTCTTGCATCGGGGGTCATCTGAGAAATGAAATAGAGAATGTTGAACTACATGGCGGTGTGTGTTTAGCAGTTTGACTGTTTTTCGATTTTTAACAGCAAATGTGTTGGTACCAGTCAACTGTGCTTTTCACAGGACTGCGCCCTGCACTTGCTTTCGCTAAATTAAAAAAAACCTTGTTTCTTCTGTCTGGATGCATATAACTAGTGTTTGAGTGATAGAGATGTCAAAAGTTATATAACTTAAAGCGGAGGTGTATACATTTGCATGGTATCTACGGAGACCGTATACCTGTGCTGTAGCCTGGAAGGTACTGTTAGTTTGACATAGTCCCAGTGGCTGTTCTACAGTGTGGGTGCCACACGCCTTCTGGTGTTCTAGACGCCATGCCATGTGATGCGGTATTCCAGATGTCGCCTTGCTGGACGCTGGTTGGCTTGAACTGTTTATCACTATGTGTACATGGAATTCCCCCCAGTTAAATGCATTCACTCAAGATTTCGTGTTTGATGCCGCGGTGGAATGCCAGAAGAATTGGGGGTTGGTACCTTCATGGTGTTTCTTAAAGTTTTGTTTGGAGCATAACACAACCATGACGTGTTGGCCAACACAAGTCGGTTACTAAAACACTTGACTTCATATATGTGTACTTATACTTTCGTTCTCGCAGCTGTCTATGTATTTGTCAGGCTGTGGTAGTCAAGACAGCGCGGTATCTTGTCCGCCATCGCCGACCGCTATAGCGGAAAAAATCTTTACCGGTTCGTTTTACAAACTGATAAGTAAATGTAATTACTCGTATTTGAAGGTATGCGTCGTAAGTGTATCATGTGGCATTGTCACTAGGTTACGACGAATTAACTTTACAGCATATAAAGTACGATACAGATTTGGATTGTAATCTGTTTCAGGAAAACGCATTGTAAAACTAAAATATGTTACACAGAGTAACACAGAGTAACACAGAGATACGTTTACCGCCGCTAGTTCGCCACCCATCATGCTATTCCAAGGACATTGATGACAGATCTCCTCACTCATCCACCTAAATATGTTAAGAATTCCCTTCCCATTGATTGTCACTATGGAGCACACTCTACGATTCCACAAAGTTGTCTAACATGTATGAAACTCCCGACGTGTGTGATATAGAATTGGTACATAACATAGTGCTGATGTGAGGTCACACCACTGTGATGTTATGGGAACAACATCCAGACAGCCCACTTTGATCAACTGTCGTACATGTACAATGTACTTTGGGAAACCTACCTTATCGTCTTCCTCGTTTACGTGTTTCACAACAAGCTCACAATTTCGTAGGTCATGTTTTAATCGTTACATTTCTATGGCAACCATACTACAGACTGCGTGTTAACGGACGGTTAACCTGTCCAGCAACAAGAGAGACAATGCAGCTTGTATCAGTGGGAATTTAGCATTTTAGTTAGATACACTCGTGCCAGTAAATGACTCCTGTGAATACACAATGCCATTTAGAAAGGGGTCAAATGTAACTTATAAAGCCCTGAAGCTAATGGCAATGATGAAAACCCCTCCGAGGTAAGGAACCGCTGATTTGTCAATGATACGTTGCCGTGATAACTGGATATGTGTTCAGTGATGTCATGGTAAACCCTACAACGTGGCTTTAAACGTTCAAAACCTTAGTAATTTAATCAAAATCAAACGGTTCCCGGAGTCTGAAGTATAATCATTTATGAGTTTCGTTAGGGGAGAAGACATCATGCATATATTTCGTTCTCGTATTGTACAGTTTTAATTAGTTTTAAATACACTCAAGCCCTAGACGCACACCTTTTCACATATAAACTCAGATTAATATCAGTTTGAAAGAACTTAGCAGCCACCGTCGGCATCGTCGTGTACTTACTGGCGATGGGTACCTGTGGTGAGCCGTTACAGTCATCCCTGTCGGGGTCCCACTCCCACACACAGGCTGAAGCCAGTTTCGACCACACTTGGCTGGCGTTGCATCTCACGGATTGAACAATTTCACCGTCGAAGCCGCACTGGTGGGCGACCATGCAGTCGTTTTCGTCCCTCACCCAGAGGCCTGGCTGGATGTTGAGACATGTTCTCTCATCGGCGAAGTAGTCGGCGGCCAAGGCGCATGCGACGAAGGCTACGACGAGCCCGAAAAGTCTACTTCCTACCATCTTGCTCGTTGTCAGGGAACAGCTTGGAGATCTGTGGAAACCAGCTGATTTTATGCTTGGACGGCGAACGTGTTTTGTCTCAGTTCGTTGCCCCTCCACAAGCTCTTGTCAAATATCCCCCCTGTCTGTTGAGGTGGAAGGACGCGTGTGTCATCGTATTTATGATAGTCTGTGTTTAATCAGGATCTGTTGTGTGCCGAGCTCCCACGTCGGTGCCTCTCTGCACATGTCCCCGGGCCCCTGGCACGATACAGGGGTTGAGATGGGACAAGGGGATTTTTAGTTAAATTTGCGATTGGCTAAGACAACAGAGCGCTTCCGGTCGATCGGTCAGTGCTGACGAAGGGGTACTGAGGACACAGAGAACTTTCAATAGCATCCTCAAACATGCTGACCACATGCTGATTAAGCACTTTTGGCGAGGATTTGAAGAGATTAGGTTCAACGTCTCACACGCAGCGCCACAAACCCATACTGGTACGCCAAATGCGCAGATAACTCTTCGCAATACGGATAGGTTTGGACATGGATTAAGGCTAGGCTCTCACAAACATCCACATATTAAGCATTTCATCAGAGAACCGCTCATGTTGTAGACGTAATGAAGCGGCCTCACGTGCACGGTATTTGGCGTGGGGTTGTTACGTCATGATGGTACGAGCTGACACTGTTGACAGAATCACATGCATGGTTTTCAAAGAGTAAACTCATTACCACGAGAATTATTGGAATAATATATTTGATGTATTAAACTTCGATAGTATAAAGACAAAGCCATCAGTCGAGCGCAGTTACTTGCAGTATCGCGTCAACCTTTGGGAAACATCGGAGGCTAACAATCGATCCCCTTTCCATGTAATTAAGCGACAAGTGTCGTTGTAACTTGGTTATTAAGCTGTGAAGTTGTGGAAAATGGCTACGATTTTCAGCGGATTATGTAATTGTTAAATCTGATTCAAGAAAGACCATACGTCAGAGTAATCTCCCTTTCATTGTTTCAAAACTATATTTCAGTCTGGCAAAACGGAAATCAACGCGTTCATGCATAACCCTTGTTATGCACTCATGTTAGGCTTGTTTTCATTGGCCGATCGTAAACTGCGCTGTGGTTGGATGGTGGATCAGCATAATACTCCACATATTAGCTCCGAGTGCTTGGAAGAAGCCTCACAGAGGTGAGTCCACTCGCTTGTATTGTGAAGATGGGAAGCTGTATCTCAGGTTTGTTCCTGATGGTGTTTCGCTGCAATGTCTAGCTGAAACTGAAAATTACAGATTTATTTGGTCGTCAAGTACTCAGTACATTAGAGTGCGTAGTATGGCTTGTACGTCACTTTTAGCACTATTTCAGCTACAGATTTCACCAATATGGGGAACCTTTTTTGTTTCTTTAGATGCACAATGAATTGTCCTTGTATTGACAGGGTTAAAACGGGGTGTTTCTGATCACAGCACCACTGCTATCTTGTCGGGTAACATCTGCCTGTGTTAAGCCAGTAACCACAGCTGCTCACCTGCTCTTAAAGAAGCGTGTGTATAGTGGTAAAAGCACTATGCTGTTACGGCAAAGACCTGGCTGGATTCCCGGGTACACTGTATAAAGCAAACTGCCAGTGTGTCCGCTCTTGGTGTTGTTAGAATATTGTTAAACGCGGTGTCACTCACTCACTCACTCACTCAAGTCTTGATATACTACCGACACTGAGCAAGGGAACTGATGACCTGATACTGAAGGTGTAACGAAGGCAAATGCCTGTAAAGTGAATTCCCGGTGTGCAGGGAAATATCTGTTGTATATGCCATGTTGGACGACGCATGCCCGACCCCTTCCTGACATACTGTTGATTATAGTCCGTTTGGCTCAAAAGCGGACCGATGAATTGCAATCTACTCGGAAAATTAATAAACATATAATACTCAATGAAACGCAGATCATAAACAAAACATCAGACCAACTCTGAGAGTTTTTTTTTCAGAATGTATGTCCTAAAAATACAAAAGTTGTTTAACAAACTATCATTAAAATATTTACACAGTTCACTATTTGTTACGATGGAGGGTGCAAAGAGAGGAACAGGCAGGTGTGCGAGAAAGGATGGAGACGGCACACCACAGATAAATGAATCAATAAATTTGTCGGCACTTGCGCACGTGCTTCGCGTACTACTCGCTGTTCCTCTCTCTGCACTCCTCCCTCGTAACAAATAGTGAACTGTGTCAAAATTTTAATGATAGCTTGTTAAACAACGTTTGCATTTTTTGGAGATAAATTCTGGAAAAAAATCACGGAGTTGGTGTGATGCTTTAATTATGATCAGCGTTATGATTCATCCTTCCACTTTTGATCCAAACGGACTATAACTTGCGTATTGATGTCCTTCGTATTCCACCTGAAGAGCTACCAAAACTGGGCCACGTTGGTAGGTACTGGAGCGGCGTACCCACCCAACATCCCACAGATGGGGGCATATCAAGGAACGTACTGGGCCTTCTCTGAACGATGTGGTCAGGCATTGTCATCTTGCAGTTCGACAGGAAAGAACATTTCGTCAACATATCGCTGGCCAGTCAATCAAATGTTCCTTCACAATAATGATACAGTTCCCCGTCATGCGTGATACCGCCACGCCACATCACAGCCCCATATTTGATCGTGGTGCCCCGTTTCACAAAGCTCTCGTCAGCTTAAGATCTCGTAACATTTCTCGTAGCATTGGTACTTCCTATACTGTAACATTGACTTACGATAGTCGTAGTGCTACGAGAGCTTTGTGAAACGGACCCGGACCTCTCGTTGTCAACGATTTCTGCCAACTGGGATTCGGAGGACAAAGACTGTTATTCTTCTCGTAAACATTCGGGTAACATTGTATATGAACGACACCCCCACCCCCCCCCCTTCCCTCCCACCTCTCGATCTCAACGGTTCGCACTTCTGTCCGTACATTGGAGATATTGTTGTGTACTACTTTAGCCTGTGCTGAGTTTAGCTGTCTGCGTTCAGTTCAGTTGTCTGTTCATCCTTAATGAGATGTTTCTTTCTGATTAGATGTTTCTTTCTGATTAGATGTTGCTTTCTACGATGGCTACATTCAAATCATAAGCCTCGGAAGTAGAGATTTGTCGGATGGTAAGCATAGAGTTACTGCCACCAACTATACAATAGATTTGATCCAACAATTAAACCGTCAAAACAACAAAACGTTGTAATGCTGAAAGCAGCTGCTAACGTATGATCCAAGACACAACCATGATACCCGTATCACATACCTCATCATGGAATAATAACGTCAAGTGTATGGGGTTTTGTCCCGACGTTAATTAACTGGGGCAATGTTACAGCGCCTGTGTAAGACGTGGGATTTTGCGTTCACTTTTATAACGCAACATAAACTTCTCATGGTTTATGGGATTATCCACCGGATATTGAACACCTTATTCCATGACAACATTACTGCGACCATCTTCCCATAGTAGAGGAGATAATATACGTGAAGCAAAGTGGAAAAGAGGCCTCACAAACACAAATATATTGCTCAAAGTTTATTCATGTTCTCAAATGAATATTGCCATTTATACGCACATGCAAATGTGAATCGTTGGAGGTAGTGTTACAGTCGAATTATGATGTTTTAATCAATAACAACATCGTTAAAACATTCAGTCTTTCAGAATATACTTGTGCCATGGTTTTCTTCTTGTCTAAATGGGAAGCGCCATTCTCTGACATTTGTTTAGTTAGCACAGCCAAGTGCGGTGTACTCCCTAGACATCAATGTTACAGTATTCCTTCTCCTCGGGGGAAAGATCCCATGGGTACTCACACCCCAGTTTAATGTTGGAGAACACTGTCCCCTCGCCGCACTGCAGCGTCACGAGTTGGCCGTTGTCACATTGGGTGTAGTTGTTGCAGAAGCCAGCAACAGCCCTCATTTTGCAGCCTGAAAATGATAATACATGTTTGTGAACAGTTCAGACAATCATTATGTTTACAGATACCCGTATTTCTACATTGAACAGTTCAGACAATCATTATGCTTACTGATACCTGTATTTCTACATTGAACAGTTCAGACAATCATTACGTTTACTAATACCCGTATTTCTACATTGAACAGTTCAGACAATCATTATGTTTACTGATACCTGTATTTCTACATTGAACAGTTCAGACAATCGTTATGTTTACTGATACCTGTATTTCTACATTGAACAGTTCAGACAATCATTATGTTTACTGATACCTGTATTTCTACATTGAACAGTTCAACCAATCATTATGTTTACTGATACCTGTATTTCTACATTGAACAGTTCAGACAATCATTATGTTTACTGATACCTGTATTTCTACATTGAACAGTTCAACCAATCATTATGTTTACTGATACCTGTATTTCTACATTGAACAGTTCAGACAATCATTATGTTTACTGATACCTGTATTTCTACATTGAACAGTTCAGACAATCATTATGTTTACTGTTACTTGTATTTCTACATTGAACAGGTCAGACAATCATTATGTTTACTGATACCTGTATTTCTGCATTAAACAGTTCAGACAATCATTATGTTTACTGATACCTGTATTTCTACATTGAACAGTTCAACCAATCATTATCATTATGTTTACAGACAATCATTATGTTTACTGATACCTGTACATTGAACAGTTCAGACCAATCATTATGTTTATTTACCTGTATTTCTACATTGAACAGTTCAGACAATCATTATGTTTACTGATACCTGTATTTCTACATTGAACAGTTCAGACAATCATTATGTTTACTGATACCTGTATTTCTACATTGAACAGTTCAGACAATCATTATGTTTACTGTTACTTGTATTTCTACATTGAACAGTTCAGACAATCATTATGTTTACAGATACCTGTATTTCTGCATTGGAAACATAGCGCCGAAACGCTGGGTTCCAAATGAAAACACAAGGAGTCTAATCTACTGTCTCGCTACCTGTAATTACAGTTAGAGTTGACGTGTTTCCTACTAAACATGATCTGTTTGTTTGTTCCATTGTTTGTTTAATGCCGAACTCAAAACTAAGATGATAAGTCGGGCGGTGGGGTAGCTTAGTAGGTAAGGCGTTCGCTCGTCACACGGAAGACTCGGGTTCGATTCCCTACATGGATACAATGTGTGAAGCCCATTTCTGGTGTCCCCCGCCCTGATATTGGTCAAATATTGCTAAAAGCGACATAAAACCAAACTCACTCACTACTCACTCACTCTTAAGACAAGCCTGGGTTTTAACATGTAATTGAGTTCATACGCGTGTCATCAGTGTTAGGGTTATACACACAAGAAGCTTTAATATACTCAGAATATATTAACGGAAATGGGTAACGGGGCTAAGGTGATCTTCGATCTGGCAGCACCATGCATGTACTCAGTGGCTTCAACAAGTAATACACGTGTACGGCCTCAGTAGGAAAATGTTTTAGACAGGATAAGGGTAAATCACGATAGAATAAGGGTAGAGTAAGGAAGATAGGATAAGGGTAGTGTAAGGACGATAGGATAAGGGTAGAATAAGAAAGATAGGATGAGGGTAGAGTAAGGACGATATGATAAGGATAGAGTAAGGACGATAGGATAAGGTGGAGTAAGGACGGTAGGATAAGAGTAGAGTAAGGAAGATAGGATAAGGGTAGAGTAAGGAAGATAGGATAAGGGTAGAGTAAGGAAGATAGGATAAGGGTAGAATAAGAAAGATAGGATGAGGGTAGAGTAAGGACGATATGATAAGGATAGAGTAAGGACGATAGGATAAGGTGGAGTAAGGACTGACTGACTGACTGAGTTTGGTTTTACGCTGCTTTTAGCAATATTCCAGCAACATGATGGCGGGGGACACCAGAAATGGGCTTCACACATTGTACCCATGTAGGGATTCCAACCCGGGTCTTCGGCGTGACGAGCCAACGCTGTAACCACTAGGCTACCCCTACCGCCCCGGAGTAAGGACGATAGGATAAGGGTAGAGTAAGGACGATGGGATAAGGAGAGAGTAAGGAAGATAGGATAAGGATAGAGTAAGGAAGATAGGATAAGGGTAGAGTAAGGACGATAGGATAAAGTGGAGTAAGGACGATGTGATAAGGGTAGAGTGAGGACGGTAGGATTAGGTGGAGTAAAGAAGGTAGGATAAGGATAGAGTAAGGGCGATAGGATAAGGGTACAGTAAAGACGATAGGATAAGGGTAGAGTAAGGACGATAGGATAAGGGTACAGTAAGGAAGATAGGATAAGATGGAGTAAAGACGGTAGGATAAGGATAGAGTAAGGACGATAGGATAAGGGTACAGTAAGGACGATAGCTGAGTTAAGACAAAGGTACTGTTGAGGACGATGAAAGCGTCAGGACATTTTAGCGTTAGGACAATGGTAAGTTAAGGGCAAGGGTTAAGTTAGGACACTTACTGAGTTAGGAGGAAGGTAAAGTAAGGGTGATATCTGATTCAGTCACTAACTTTGTTGAGGGAGGAAAATGTAAACAGTCAGAACAATGGTGGAGTTGGGACAATGTACGAGTCAGTCTCACCTAGAAAATGATAAAAATGCAGCTCACGATCCCCATTTTGCTTGACTTTTTATCTTGGTACCCCTCAAAAACGAAAACTCTCCAATAAATGCATCACAAACTTCAGGAAACAAAATATGCAAGAAACATTTTGTGTGTTTGAGACAGGCAGAAGTCCGCTAGAATCCAACTTAGATAATAAAGTGCATAAAAAGCAGTTTGAAACTATACTAGGCACATAAAGAAACTGTGCATACAAAACATTGTAATCTAAATTTATCAAACCTGTGTAGACACATAAGGATTTAAACTCAGAGATTAGTGACATGTATCCAACATGCATGCACGTGCCACATTCCATGACGTCAGTGGGTTCGTCCTTGTAATGTACAATACGTTGTTGCACGTGCATTCCGGGAGAGAGAAACAGAGCAAATGAATGCCACACAATACTGTCACTTTGGAAAGCTCAACCCCTGCCCTTGCTATCGTTCAAAAAATTAAACGGCTATTGAAATGCATAGCATGCCAAGGCTCACGTCATGAGGCCATTGGGATGGCGCGTGGGGGAATGTCTCAACGACACGTGGCTGCACATTTCCACTGCCACCAGAACACCATTTCTGCACTGGTGAAACGGTACCAGAACACAAATGACGCCATCGATCGGCCACGTTCTGGACGTCCACGTGTAGCAACACCAAGACAGTACAGATGGATAAGACCCATCTTCGCCACAGGTTTCAGCCTGCAGTGATGACTGCCCGAACCACCCCAGGACTTCGCCGTATCCACCCCAACACAGTTCGACAACTTTTACGTCATCACGGGATCAGACCACGACGTCCCGTCATACGCCCTATCCTGACACCATGTGACTACACTGTCACACGTCTGTTCATAAAGTCTTTACATATTGTTCCACCTTGTGACTACACTGACACACGTCTATTCATAAACACTTTACATATTGTTCCACCTTGTGACTACACTGACACACGTCTATTCATAAAGACGTTACATATATTGCCACCTTGTGACTACACTGTCACACGTCTGTTCATAAAGTCTTTACATATTGTTCCACCATGTGACTACACTGACACACGTCTATTCATAAACACTTTACATATTGTTCCACCATGTGACTACACTGACACACGTCTATTCATAAAGACGTTACATATATTGCCACCTTGTGACTACACTGTCACACGTCTATTCATAAAGTCTTTACATATTGTTCCACCATGTGACTACACTGACACACGTCTATTCATAAAGTTTTTACATATTGTTCCACCATGTGACTACACTGACACACGTCTATTCATAAAGTCTTTACATATTGTTCCACCATGTGACTACACTGTCACATGTCTGTTCATAAACACTTTACATATTGTTCCACCATGTGACTACACTGACACACGTCTGTTCATAAACACTTTACATATTGTTCCACCTTGTGACTACACTGACACACGTCTATTCATAAAGACGTTACATATATTGCCACCTTGTGACTACACTGACACACGTCTGTTCATAAAGTCTTTACATATTGTTCCACCATGTGACTACACTGTCACACGTCTGTTCATAAACACTTTACATATTGTTCCACCATGTGACTACACTGTCACACGTCTGTTCATAAACACTTTACATATTGTTCCACCATGTGACTACACTGACACACGTCTATTCATAAACACTTTACATATTGTTCCACCATGTGACTACACTGACACACGTCTGTTCATAAACACTTTACATATTGTTCCACCATGTGACTACACTGACACACTCGTCTATTCATAAAGACGTTACATATATTGCCACCTTGTGACTACACTGTCACACGTCTATTCATAAAGTCTTTACATATTGTTCCACCATGTGACTACACTGTCACACGTCTATTCATAAACACTTTACATATTGTTCCACCATGTGACTACACTGTCACACGTCTATTCATAAAGACGTTACATATATTGCCACCATGTGACTACACTGACACACGTCTATTCATAAAGTCTTTACATATTGTTCCACCTTGTGACTACACTGACACACGTCTATTCATAAACACTTTACATATTGTTCCACCTTGTGACTACACTGACACACGTCTATTCATAAAGACGTTACATATATTGCCACCTTGTGACTACACTGACACACGTCTATTCATAAAGTCTTTATAAAGTCTTTACATATTGTTCCACCATGTGACTACACTGTCACATGTCTGTTCATAAACACTTTACATATTGTTCCACCATGTGACTACACTGACACACGTCTGTTCATAAACACTTTACATATTGTTCCACCTTGTGACTACACTGTCACACTCGTCTGTTCATAAACACTTTACATATTGTTCCACCATGTGACTACACTGACACACGTCTATTCATAAAGACGTTACATATTGTTCCACCTTGTGACTACACTGACACACGTCTATTCATAAAGACGTTACATATATTGCCACCTTGTGACTACACTGACACACGTCTATTCATAAAGTCTTTACATATTGTTCCACCATGTGACTACACTGACACACGTCTATTCATAAAGACGTTACATATATTGCCACCATGTGACTACACTGACACACTCGTCTATTCATAAAGTCTTTACATATTGTTCCACCATGTGACTACACTGACACACTCATCTATTCATAAACACTTTACATATTGTTCCACCATGTGACTACACTGTCACACGTCTATTCATAAACACTTTACATATTGTTCCACCATGTGACTACACTGTCACACATCTATTCATAAAGACGTTACATATATTGCCACCATGTGACTACACTGACACACGTCTATTCATAAAGTCTTTACATATTGTTCCACCTTGTGACTACACTGACACACGTCTATTCATAAACACTTTACATATTGTTCCACCTTGTGACTACACTGACACACGTCTATTCATAAAGACGTTACATATATTGCCACCTTGTGACTACACTGACACACGTCTATTCATAAAGTCTTTACATATTGTTCCACCATGTGACTACACTGTCACATGTCTGTTCATAAACACTTTACATATTGTTCCACCATGTGACTACACTGACACACGTCTGTTCATAAACACTTTACATATTGTTCCACACTAAACGTCTGTTCATAAACACTTTACATATTGTTCCACCATGTGACTACACTGACACTCGTCTATTCATAAACACTTTACATATTGTTCCACCATATTGTTTGTGACTACACTGACACACGTCTATTCATAAAGACTTATACATATTGTTTGTGACTACACTGACACACTCGTCATATTCATAAACGTCTTTACATATTGTTCCACCATGTGACTACACTGTCACACTTCACGTCTATTCATAAAACACGTTACTTTACATATTGTTCCACCATGTGACTACACTGACACACACTCTGTTCATAAACAGTTTATTACATGTTACTACACTGACACACTCATCTGTTCATAAACACTTTACATGTGTTCCACCACACTGTCACACGTCTGTTCATAAACACTTTACATATTGTTCCACCATGTGACTACACTGTCACACGTCTGTTCATAAACACTTTACATATTGATCCTCCATGTGACTACACTGTCACACGTCTGTTCATAAACACTTTACATATTGATCCTCCATGTGATTACACTGTCACACGTCTATTCATAAACACTTTAAGTTTTCTATTACGTCTTCCTACGTCTATTCCGTCATGACAGGGTAAAGTTGTTACAGGAGAGTATGATACTATATTTTACTGTCGAACTGATTTCACACTTTTCAATTGATGACGATATTGGCAAGACTCAAAACTGTCTAATTACGCACCCAAAATATTATACCGGTGTTAAAGTAGACTGTAGATATAGAAAGTAAATATAGAACAATGTATATGTCTTCCAGGTCAGATAGTCTGACGTGTTCTACTTACTGTCGTTGGTTTCCGGACATTCGAAATTGTAAGGAAAATCACAGTTTTGCTCCTCGAAGTTGAACAGGGTTCCTTGTCCGCAGTCCTGCGGGCCGAACGCCAGACCGTCGGAGTCACAGCTGATGAAGCGCTGGCATCCCCAATCTGGTAGACTCACCCGTAGGCCTCGGTTGAGGTCGCAGAGCGGGAGGGCTACAAGTGTTAGGGATACAGTGATAAAATATACACATGGAAAAAGAATCGCAACATCCATATTTGACATACTATCCATGTGATATCGTCAAACAATGCCATACAATATTGCCGTAGTGTACAATCACTACCACTGGCATACAATATTGCCGTAGTGTACAATCACTACCACTGGCATACAATATTGCCGTTGTGTACAATCATTACCACTGGCATACAATATTGCCGTAGTGTACAATCACTACCACTGGCTTACAATATTGCCGTAGTGTACAATCACTACCACTGGCATACAATATTGCCGTAGTGTACAACCACTCTCATCAGCATTCAATATTGCAGTAGTGTACAACCACTCTCATCGGCATACAATATTGTCGTAGTGTACAACCACTATGACTGGTATGCAATATTGCCGTAGTGTAGAACCACTATCACTGACATACAATATTGCCTTAGCGTACAACCACTATCACCGGCATAAAATTTTGCCGTAGTGTAGAACGACACAGCGTAGAACTACTCTCACTGGCATACAATATTGCTATAGTGTACAACCGTTCTCACTGGCATACAATTTTGCCACAGCCTAGAACTACTCTAACTGGCATACAATATTGCTATAGTGTAGAACTACTCTCACTGACATACAATTTTGCCACAGCGTAGAACTACTCTCACTGGCATACAATATTGCCACAGCGTAGAACTACTCTCACTGGGATACAGTATTGCCACAGCGTAGAACTACTCTCACTGACATACAATATTGCTATAGTGTACAACCGCTCTCACTGGCATACAATATTGCCACAGCGTAGAACTACTCTCACTGGCATACACTTTTGCCACAGCATAGAACTACTCTCACTGGCATACAATAGTGCCGTAGTGTAGAACTACTCTCACTGGCATACAATTTTGCCACAGCGTAGAACTACTCTCACTGACATACAATATTCCCACAGCCTAGAACTACTCTCACTGGCATACAATATTGCCATAGTGTAGAACTACTCTCACTGACATACAATATTGCCACAGCGTAGAACTACTCTCACTGACATACAATATTGCCACAGCGTAGACCTACTCTCACTGGCATACAATATTGCCACAGCGTAGAACTACTCTCACTGGGATACAATATTGCTTTAGTGTAGCACTACTCTCACTGGTATACAATATTGCCACAGCGTAGAACTACTCTCACTGGCATACAATATTGCCATAGTGTACAACGACAATAACTGAGGTGCAATATTGCATATATGTTTGTGTCTCTGTTTGGAACCATCGAGTGCAATATGGAGCAATATATACCTGTATACTCTCAACACGTCCAATAATGCACTATACATGCTCGGACAGGACCAATAACATCTCTGCATAGACAAGTCTAGTACGACGTACACAGATTACTATATATATCTGTACAGACACGTTCAATGTTAACGCGACGAGTACTGTACACCAATACAACGTATTAATCAGCACACATAATCAAGGCTAAAACTGGTTTAGATCGACCCGGTTCCTGTGAGGGCTGAGTGTTGTACCACATCACAGCGTAGTACACAGGGTGGAGGACGATGTTCCCTATATACATAAAACGTATGTATAAGTGAAGCTCACGTGTGCCCTGGTATTGGACGTTCTCTTGCCCATATGCAGCTACAGATAGGAGCAGAACAAGTCCGATTCCAAGCGCCATCTTTTTGTAAGCAGGATTCTTGTAAGGTCTTGGTTGGTCCACATGTGGGCGCAGAGCTAACCTTTCCTTAAATATATAGCCCCAGCCATGCTGGGATGTCATGCCACCTATATGCCACCTATGTTTGTCATTTGCAAGGGAAATACTATGGTAACAATCGGAAAACCGCCCGGGTTAAGTTTGGAGTTAATTACCTTTACCTCTGAAACGATGTTCAATTCAGTCAAACACGTAGGATGCCACATATGCAATCATTAACGCTCGGGTGCAGAGACCGCCCCAGGAACGACCGTCTTGTACGTGGCCATGGCATCTGGGTGTAATAGGTAAATAAAACAATTAATTAAAAGACTTCGGGATCTCGGTCCTGTTCCAAACAGCAATTTCAATTCGACGACTGTCGTAAATGACAGATGACATGGGGAGTTGCCGAAAGTCATGACACTGAATACCTTTGTTAAACATTAGTTACAGACGTGGATGGACATCGGCAAGATGGGGGTGGAAGAGAGGGTGAAGCACTGGCTCGGCATGTCGATACACCAGACTGTTACACGTACAAGAACATGTATCTGTACTGATACGTGCCATACTATCTGTCACGTCCAATACTGTATACCTGTACTCTCAACACGTCCAATACAATATACCTGTACTCTCAACACGTCCAATACTGTATACCTGTACTCTCAACACGTCCAATACTGTATACCTGTACTCTCAACACGTCCAATACAATATACCTGTACTCTCAACACGTCCAATACTGTATACCTGTACTCTCAACACGTCCAATACTGTATACCTGTACTCTCAACACGTCCAATACTGTATACCTGTACTCTCAACACGTCAATCAATACGTACTCTCAACGTCAATACAATATACCTGTACTCTCAACACGTCCAATACTGTATACCTGTACTCTCAACACGTCCAATACTGTATACCTGTACTCTCAACACGTCCAATACTGTATACCTGTACTCTCAACACGTCCAATACTGTATACCTGTACTCTCAACACGTCCAATACTGTATACCTGTACTCTCAACACGTCCAATACTGTATACCTGTACTCTCAACACGTCCAACTGTACTGTATACCTGTACCTGTACTCTCAACACGTCCAATACTGTATACCTGTACTCTCAACACGTCCAATACTGTATACCTGTACTCTCAACACGTCCAATACAATATACATGCTCGGACAGGACCAATAACATCTCTGCACAGACAAGTCTAGTACGACGTACACAGATTACTATATATATCTGTACAGATACGTCCAATGTTAACGCGACGAGTACTGTACACCAATACAACGTATTAAATACCGGGGCGACGTTCACAGCTACGACGGCCGTAACTACCGGCGTATGTACAACGTATGTATGTTTGACCACTGTAACGCTACGTTTGCTTTCTGAAACCAGGCCCTGACTCATTTACCTGTGGTGACAGGCCAGATGCTATCTACCTGTGTTGTCCTGAATATCTTGGCATATCAAATAATGTATACTAGTTTGACATACTGCACATGGGTTAAACTCTCCACAAGGCTGAATGACAAAAGGGATGATTTCAACCGTCCATTCAAGTCGAGCAATATTCAAAGAGCTCCAGCCTTTGGTGTTTTCACATTTCACAGCTTTTGAGGAACAATCGAGCATGATCTTTTCACCAAGATTTCAAAAGCGTCTCATGCTCAGAAGTTGTTTGATCAGTGTTACGACATTCAAGGTCTCTGTAAAACTTTCAAAACGTGTTATAGTGTAAAAACAATTTCATGTGGAGAACGTTGAAGCATGTACTGCATCTGTGACAACAAAGAAGCAGTTCCCTATTTTGACTTTTACCATACGTTTCCCAATTTCTTCAGCTGAACAATTACTAGTTTTTGTATTTGTTTATGACGCGTGCCAACCATGGGGCAGGATGCGATCATCACTGTTTGATAGAGATTCATAAACACATGGTCCGTCGTGGTATCTCATGAGGTCAATCACCAGATTTACTGTGTAGGATAAAGCACGACTCCGAGGTTACTTCTCTCCACCCGATGGTCGAGGGCTTACTTTCCCAACCATAACCGAGGAGGAGTGCTTTATTATACATATAAACCGTCAATGATGGATAATTAGATGATCATGTAATGAAGCTACATAACAGTAACTGAAGCGCTAGTAAAATCAATTGAATGACAGTAGGCCTAACTATAAATAGATAATTCAACCCTCGTACTTTTTCGGCCTGGTGGCTGTGAGGTAGAGCGTCCGCTTATGAATCTGAAATATACGGTTCCAATCCTGCTAGTGAAAACATTTGCACGTTTAAGTTGATCTTTGACGATATTTTTCAATTGATTTCAAAACACTTACATATAATTTGAATGTTGATGTTAATATAGAATTAGGAAAAAGTAAACCCTGGGAAGAGGTCTTACTTACAAAAGTAAAACCGGGAAATAGGGCTTACTCACAAAAAGTAAAACCTGAGAGCAAACAAAAATCTCAAGTGCGGTTATTCCGGGAAAAGAAGCCATGTCTAATATATAGTGAGAAGCACCCTTCAGGTTTATATGGTTCAGACTCGACTATTTACAGACCCATCATACAGCTGTAATTTTGCGAAGTGAAGCGTAAAACAAACAAACACATGCTCATAACATTATGGATATACATTATTGGTCGCTTATATTTACTTATGCTTGTATGGTGGCAAGTTTTACATGCTGTGTGTCTGAAAATAGCAAGTACTCACAGTGATATATGGCGTTATATTGACAGATGGCATCTTACACACCAATACCGCCACACGTCATGCTAAATAACTGAACTGACACATGGCAAGCTATATACGTGTAATGTCACAGGGCATGTGATATAACTGTTCTGACACATGGTAGGCTGTGGCGTCACAGGACATGCTACATAACTGTACTAATACATGGTAAGCTATATACGTGTGCCGTCACATGGCATGTTATAAAACTGTACTGACACAGGGTAGACTAACGGTACAAGTATATAGCCTACAGCGTGTCGTACAGTTATACCACATGCCCTGTGACGGCACATGTATATAGTCTACCACGTGTCAGTAAAGTTATATCACATGCCCTGTGACGGTACACGTATATAGTCTACCACGTGTCAGTACAGTTATATCAGATGCCCTATGGCGGTACACGTATATAGTCTACCAAGTGTCAGTACAGTTATATCACATGCCCTATGACGGTACACGTATATAGTCTACCACGTGTCAGTACAGTTATATCAGATGCCCTGTGACGGTACACGTATATAGTCTACCACGTGTCAGTACAGTTATATCACATGCCCTGTGACGGTACACGTATATAGTCTACAATGTGTCAGTACAGTTATCACATGCCCTGTGACGGTACACGTATATAGTCTACAATGTGTCAGTACAGTTATCACATGCCTTGTGACGGTACACGTATATAGTCTACCACGTGTCAGTACAGTTATATCACATGTGACGGTACACGTATATAGTCTACAACGTGTCAGTACAGTTATATCAGATGCCCTGTGACGGTACACGTATATAGTCTACAATGTGTCAGTACAGTTATCACATGCCTTGTGACGGTACACGTATATAGTCTACCACGTGTCAGTACAGTTATATCACATGCCCTATGACGGTACACATATATAGTCTACCACGTGTCAGTACCTTTATATCAGATGCCCTGTGACGGTACACATATATAGTCTACCACGTGTCAGTACAGTTATATCAGATGCCCTGTGACGGTACACGTATATAGTCTACAATGTGTCAGTAAAGTTATCACATGCCTTGTGACGGTACACGTATATAGTCTACCACGTGTCAGTACAGTTATATCACATGCCCTATGACGGTACACGTATATAGTCTACCACGTGTCAGTACAGTTATATAGCATATCCTGTGACGCCTTAGCCTACCCTGTGTCAGTCAGTGTTAGGCTATATACGTGTTACCGTCACATGACATGTTATATAACGCGATGACGTTGCAGAAAAGGAATTGCCACAGGTCGAAGAATCTGATCCCTGTAGCCCACACCAGTTAAGTTGCCCTGAACATCACTATAGGAAATGTTAAACCTGGACTCATCTGTAAAAACAACATTTCTCCACCAAAACAAGGGTCTGCGGACATGATTTCGGCACCACATTGGGCGAGCTTGTCGATGACGTTGTGTCAGGATAGAGCCTATGGCGGGACGTCGTGGTCTGATCCCGTGATGACGTAAACGTTGTCGAACTGTGTTGGGGTGGATACGGCGAAGTGCTGGGATGGTTCGGGAAGTCATCACTGCATGGCGAAGATGGGTTACCCTTATCCATCTGTCCTGTCTTGGCGTTGTTACACGTGGACGTCCAGAACGTGGCCGATCGATGACGTCATTTGTGTTCTAGTAGCGTCTCACCAGTGCAGAAATAGTGTTCCGGTGGCTGTCGAAATGTGCAGCCACGTGTCGTTGAGACATTCCCCCACAGACCATCCCAATGGCCTCATGACGTTGTGCAGACGTGAGCCTTGGGATGCTATGCGTTTCAATAGCCGTTTAATTTTTTGAACGATCGCAAGGGCAGGGGTTGAGCTTTCCAAAGTGACAGCATTGTGTGGCATTCATTTGTTCTGTTTCTCTTTCCCGGAATGCACGTGCAAGGACGAACCCACTGACGTCACGGAACGTGGCACGTGCATGCATGTTGGATACATGTCACTAATCTCTGAGTTTAAATCCTTATGTGTCTACACAGGTTTGATAAATTTAGATTTTAAATTTTTGTATGCACAGTTTCTTTATGTGCCTAGTATAGCTTACCAAGTGTCAGTACAGTTATATCACATGAAGGGGCGGTGGGGTAGTCTCGTGGTTAAAGCGTTGGCTCGTCACGCCGAAGACCTGGGTTCGAATCCCCACATGGGTACAATGAGTGAAACCCATTTCTGGTGTCCCCCGCCGTGATATTGCTGGAATATTGCTAAA